CCGACCCATTCGTGATACAACCATACCTAATATAGCTGCAGCGTGGCTCTACCACGTATATATTTATACATTTAGTTTATTATAATTTGTTCGTTGACTTAAGATGTATAATTAATAAATGTAATTAAGTATAATATAAATATGTCGAATAACAAATAGCACAACACCTCATCTAAGCCAATATTTTTAAATGTCTAATTAAACTAAATAACAGTTATTAGTTGGAAATCATAATAGAAATATGTGTCGAAACATATTTCTTATGTGGCTGTATTAATGTATCATTCTTACTTTCAATTTGTTTTTTTTATTTTACAAAATATGAGTTTTGGTTGAGAGTCAGGCCCAATATCACAGATGCAACATCTAAGTAACCAAAACCAAATTAAGTCATATGGTCGCCACACACGGTCAGTTCAACTGATCAGTTCAAACTAGGAATGTTGATATTTTTTAAAATATCGGATTTTCGATATATCCATAAATTAACTTATACATAAAACTCCGATATTGATATATTTACAATCATCGATATATGGAAATTCCGTTTTCACACCTAGTTTGAACTGATCAGTTCGAATGATCAGTTAAGCTGACCGTGTGTGTCGTCCATTAAAGAATAGAGAAAAACACAGTTTTCAATAACAATTTTTATTAAAGGAACAATGAGTAGGTATCCAATATTATCATTTATGCTAATATTATAACAATAAATAATCGAGATTCCTAATACTGACTTAGCTAACCTACATACGTATATTACATATGATCGAATAGAAGTACAAGTAACTAATATCACATTTAGGATTTCGACAAACACGTTTTTTACAAACTAATTACGTAATTAGTCGGCACTAGAAAATACACGTACGGTGAGATTATTATAGTTCTTATTTATTTTTATTAAAAATAAGCTGTATAAAATATATTATATTGAAAAGACTTTGGTGTCAAAATATTAAACTAAATTAAATATTTTTATAACATTAGATATTATTAGGTATCAATTAAAGACTAATTAGAAAACTATATTAATGCAAAATATGTTCATAGATATTTATTTGTGGCTGTACATAATACACTACTCTATTTTTAACCGACTTCATAAAAAGGAGGAGATACTCGACTGTATTTTTTATATGTTACATCAGAACTTCTTTCTAGGTGAACAGATTTTGATGATACTTTTTTTATTTGAAAGCTGATGGTTCTCATGTGCTCTCACTTAAATATCATCAAGATCTAACCAGTGGTGTTTGAGTTATCCTTAATTATGCGTATTTAATTGACTTCGACTATATTGATGTTCTAATTTTATTTACGAGTATATTGAAGTCGGTTGTGTTTACCACTTGTGTTATAAAATATTAATAGGCTTTAAATAATATTACCTAATTTTTCTCATTCAGTTCCAAGTAATAACATTTAGATTGATAAAACAATAATACTATGACATAGTTCCTGCTGATAAATATTACCGTAAGATGGGTTGTATAGAAATCACGAGACGAATAGAAGAAAAGTCTTAAACTGTATTTCGAGCCGTTTTTATCATACCCATTGCTTATAATATTAGAAATATTTGTTTTTTATGATATGGAAATAATAGAAACGAAGATTAAATGAAATAGATCAACAGATTGTATCTATAGTTGTTGTTCTCTAGGGTTGTCAAAACTACTTAGATATAGAATAATATTTAGATATTTATAAAATGCTGCTAAATTTGATTATTTTCATTTATATCAGTTAAATAGGTACTTTTAACAAATATATAGGTTAACGTTTAGTTCAGTTTATTTCAGTTAGAAATAACATTGCTTAATAATAATAATTTTATCTTATGGATTTGTCTAATCAGTAACACTGGTATGTCATGGAATTCTAGATCCAAACAAAAAAATGTATGAAATAATGATTCTGATATCGTATCAAGAGTCACCCAAATATTAGGAATATTTTTTGCTGAATATGTTTTAAATATCTAATACCTCGAGGCACTCATCAGTATGGTAAATTTATGACATCGCCGGAGCTCACTTTTTTGTTGGAAAGAAGTGAGTGATATTTTTTTCCATGTTAAAGCTAAACTAGGTTTTTGGGGGGGCAAACGAGCATGCAGCTCATCTGATGGTGATTAACTACCTCCGCCCATGGACGACTGTAATACCAGTGGAATTGCAAATGCGTTGTCGGCCTTTTAAAAAACATGATGGATCAGTAGTGCACTATCTGTGATCGTGTTGTGGCGGTGTTAGAATATTCACAACCCCTTATTGTTCCGTGGTTGTCGTAAGAGGCGACGGAAACTGAAACAGGAGATGCACAGCAGCATCTTCCTGATAACAACCGAGAATTATAAAGAACTGCGGTTGCTAAGCGTGGCAATCATGGCAAAATCCATCTATGTGGCAATCTATGGGTCAATGTTTTTTTTTTCTTTATAGGATAGGGTGACAAACGAGCACACAGTCCACCTGATGGTAAGTGGTTGCTGTGGCCCATAGACATCTACATCTATCCTCGATTACGAATCAAAATGCAGATGCGTTGTCACCCGTGAGGACTAAGATGGAATGACTCGTTTCCAGTAAAAAGGGTCACCGGTTCTCTACACTCACCATACGAAATACAGCAGCATTAAGCTACTATTTCACGCTGGTATTCTGTGAGAGCATGGTCCTTCCCCGGTCGAGCCGACCCATTCGTGCTACAACTATACTACTAATATAACTGCAGCATGGCTCTACCACGTATAAAACTTGAATAGTAAACTTTCATAGACTGTAATGGATGGATAGATATGTCTTATTTGAAATCAATAATAGAATGAACAACCAGTCATGAATAGTATCCATAGAATACTATAATACATACATAAGCCTCGTACAAAATAAAGTTGACAGCCATTCTATTGTGTATTATAGTATTCTATGATAATATCTAGTTAACATTGCATACCTACAAATATAACATACACAAATCTGTTATATGGCTATATATACACTAAAAAATTTGAAACCATAAGAAGGTCAGACTGCATTTTAAATAAATATATGATAAGCTTCCCATTTTATTCTAATCTCAAAACTACTAAAATTTAAGTAGCGTAAAACGAGATATAATGAAAAGAACAAAATTATTTCACACGATAGTACACGATCTACAATTTTAGTACTTATAGATGCCTATGTAAATTTAAAAATTTCGCGTGGGAATCCTTTGCTAATTTTACTACAACACAGTGAGTGTTCTCTTCACTTTATACGAGTAGTTTCGGGGTGAATAGAAAAAAGGCACGTTTTGGGAAATTTTATTAAACTACTGTAACGTTAAAAATTAACTTACGCCCTATAAAAGCCCCACTTCTGTGTACAGGTCTCCCCCATTTCTCAGACGATGGACACTTGTGTATCCGTTTATCCTTTCTCACTGGTCGTTATAGCCTCTGCAATATAGTTTCCCGGTAGAGATCGCTTCTAAGCTAATAAGTTCACCAATTGCAGCTTTATATAATTTATGTTTTTTATATATATTTTATATTCTTGTTTATTGATGTATTTTCAAAAGTAAAAGTAAAATTACAGCCTATATACGTCCCACTGCTGGTCTCAGGCCTCACCTCATTTCTGAGAGGGTTTAGGGCAAGGAAGTGTCCGCCGCGCTGCCCAAATGCGTGTTGACGAACTTCACATGTCTTCGAAAGATTTTTTTTCTTATTCTTCAGACATGCAGGTTTCCTCACGATGTTTTCCTTCACCGCCGAGCACGTGGTAAATCAGCACTTAAAATTGCAATTAACGATTTCATTGGTGCCGGCGGGGATCGAACCCGGGTTACTCGCGTACTGTTATATTTACAGCGAGCGTTAACCACTGAGCTACCACGGCTCAAAAGTACATTTCATTAATTTATTTATTTAAAAAAGTACCGATTATGAGGAAAACCTTCTATCATATTCAGTTCATCTGTAATTTTTAATATATATTTTTTTAAATATTAAAAAATCTTTCATTTCAGAATGTAAAAAAGTATTAGCGTATTATATTTACGCGAATATTTAGTTATTTTAGTTTACTTACTTTGTTCTATTTTCCTTTTTTAATTCTCGACGATTCGGGTGACATTTGGGGGGAGGGGCTCAGGTTATCGACGCTTACTCGAAGTCTTCCACAGTAACTTATTCTGGGTTAACTTTGATATCAGGACGTCAATCACCTCAGCCCCCTCCCCCCATAGAAGAAAGTAATATACCGGGAAGTCCCCTGAGACCATGGGTGCTGCAAAGCACCCGAAGCGTCAGGAATTAAAAATAATTTTAAACGCGATAAAATCCGTAAAAATATATTTATTCAATATAATTTAATTTTAATTCGTTCTCGTTCGTTTTGTGTGTTTTATTTATTTATTTATTTTTTATTGCATTCCTTATTAATATATAAGAATACAAGGGCGGTTTTTTCACACAGATATCATTAATTTAGGTTTGAGGGTTAATGATTGTTGTAATTCGAAAACTCAAAATATTAACATTGTTTTAAGATTTTTAGAATATACAATCATAAAGTAAGCTAAAAAAGTTTGTATGCATGTGATATATAATAAGAGTTGCAAAAATATGATAAAAGAAGTGAATTTAATATAGAGTACTATGTCATACGTATTTACACAATTACGCTTCAATCGACTTACATTAAGTAAAATATGATTGGACCCACAGTTTTAAGAAATAGCTACAATATATTATGTAATATTTCTTTTACAAGCTATTAGATATAGAAGATAGATGTAATATACCTACAAATCCACAACTACAGATGATCCAAAAGCACAACAGTTCAGTTTAAAGCCCCCTTTTAAACACTAATAGTGGTCAATAAATACGTTTTTTAAGTTAGTTTTATTTATTAAGGTTAATTTCAGTCTTCAAAGGACCGTCTTCAAGTTGCTTCCATGAAAATATATAATAGGAAAATAAATCACTAGTCGCATCGATATTCTCAATGTGTAATCCGCGGGGACGAAGGTCTTTGAGAAACAGCGACATGAGCATCGAGTCCATCGGATGCACGTGATGTACGACGCATCCAAGCTCCACTTGCCTTTTCTGAAATAATAATTTTAAAATATAAGAGCAAATAAGTATACAATAATATTTCTGAAAGAGTTATGAAAGAAACTGATGAAACCATTTGGGATGTGCAAGCGGGATTTAGAAAGGGAATGGGGTGTACAGATCAAGTATTTTCCATTCGCATGATTGCGGAAAAGTTTTTGGCCAAAAACCAGAAAGCTTTTTTGGGTTCATAGACTTAGAAAAGGCTTATGACAGAGTGGCCAGGACTGTGTTATGGCAAACACTGAACTCATTTGGGTTGAGCGCTGGTTTAATACAGGCATTGAGGTCCCTTTATAGGGACTCTAGTGCTTATGTCAGGATCAACGGGGTCTACTCTGACTGGTTTGGAATCCAAAAAGGTGTGAGACAGGGCTGTGTAGCTCCCCCTTGGCTGTTTAACTTATTTATGGACAGTGTTTGCAAACTTTGAAAGGTGAAGAATGTGGGTTAAGAATAGGCGCGTTAACCGTCAAATATCTTTTGCACGCCGATGATCAAGTCATCTTTGCGTCGTCGGCGGCCGAGTTGCAAATGATGGTTACATTAATGAACTGGTCATTAAAAGAAAGGGGAATCAGAGTGACGCAAGTAAGACTATGAGTGAGATAAGAATAGAAGGGGAGTTGATTGAGCAAGTGGATGACTTCATGTATTTGGGATATGTATTTAGCAGAGATGGTAGATATGATAAGAATATAGAACGATGAGTGAATGCAGGCAATAGAGTAAATGGGGGCTCTACACTCTATTATCAAGAATTAGAATATGTAAAAAAAGGTACGTATGATAATTCATAATGCTGTGCTAATCCCTAATTTAATGTATGGTAGTGAAAGATGGGTGCGGCAGAAGAAGCACGAAAGTAGAATAAAATGCTGTAGATATGCGGTCTTTAAGGAGTATGCTAGGGATGAATCTGAATGATAGGGTAAGTAATTGCGTGATAAGATAAAAATGTGGTGTGTAAGATGATGTTGTGACAAGGATTAAGAAAGGAATGCTTCGGTGGTTTGGAATGCGTGCATGTAGAAATAATGAACGTAAGGGAAGAGTGATAAGCAAATTTACATTGCAGATGTGAACGGCAGAGTCAGAGAGGGACGTCCTAGAAGAATCTTCATCGAATAAATTGACGATATTTTGAAAGGTAGCCACATTAGGAGTACCCTTAACCGACGAGTATGTATGCTTAGATATATGGATGTAAAGGAGGCGAAATAGGTATGTCAGGATCCGTGCCAAATGGAAGTCCGTAGTCTCTGCCTACCCTTCTGAGTAACATGCGTGAGTGTTTATGTATTAATATTTCTGAGTATACATAATACGTTATCATATCCGAAAGCTGGCTCAAGCCTGAACTCTCTTCCACGTCTTATAGTCTTCCAGGTTATATTTTACTCCGTAATGACCGCACTGGTAAAAGAGGCGGAGGTGTTGCTATCTATCTGCGTAGTAATTTACCTTATAAAATATTAAACACATCTCCCACTCTATATTCCGGTTCAATGGAATACATTTTTGTTGAAGTTAATGTCAAGAGTGTTAAAGTGTTTCTTGGAGTTGTCTACTGTCCACCTCAAGTGGACTATTTCTCCGATTTGGAAGTAAATTTATTGCCTTACAGTTCTGCCTACACACATCACATTGTCATGGGAGACTTTAACACCGAACTATCTGGGGTTTCTCTTAAATCTTCGAAACTTAGGTCGACCATGTTGTCGCATAATTTCACTATTTAGCCTCTAAATGCAACACATCACAACTTCCACTCTGCTGACACCTGGATTGACCTTATTGCCGTCTCCTCCGTTGATCACGTTGTCAATTATAGACAATTCTCTGCTTCTGGATTTTCACGGCATGACCTGCTTTATCTGTCATATAAATTAAAGTCCCTCAAGCCTTTACCTGTGTCCATCACTATTCGTAGTCTTGCTAGAATAGATATGGACAAGTTTAAATGTGATGCAGATGCTATTAACTGGTCATCTGTATATACTGCTTCCACAGTTGATGAAAAAGTCGACTTCTTTAACAGCAACATATTAGGACTGTATAATAAACAGCTCCTAAGCGTGTTGTTCGACTGAAGCGTCCTCCTGCTCCATGGATCACGGTTGGGGTAAGATTGGCTATGGCTAAACGCGATAGAACTTTCCGTGCTTTCGAGAAGAATCGCACTGAGGTAAAGTGGCAAGCATATAAAGCTGCAAGAAATCGATGCAATCAGATGGTGAGAGCTGCTAAACGCCGATATATCCACGAACAACTACTTAATTCATCTTCGGCTGATATATGGAAGTTTCTGAATACGCTTGGATATGGAAAATCGCAACTTGACTATAATAGCGTCACCTTTTCTCCTGACGATTTTAATCGTCATTTTCTGTTTTCTCAAATAGTTTCTGATGATTCTAGAGCTAATGCCATCTCTTTTTTATCTTCCATGCCTCCTTATTCTCATGAAACTTTCACTTTTACTCCTGTAGACGAAGACGAGGTACGCAAAGCACTTTCCTCTATTAAATCGAAAGCCGTTGGATGTGATGTCGTGAGTAGGGTAATGGTTTTGCACGTGCTGGATTCTGTTTTACCCGTGATAACTCATATAATTAACTTTTCGCTGATGAATGGTGCTTTTCCAACACTCTGGCGTAAAGCCTTTATTATTCCCATCCCGAAAGCTACTGAATGCAGCTCTTTATCTAATTTCAGACCAATTTCTATTCTGCCGTTTCTTTCTAAGAAACAGATTTCTGCTTTTGTTTTCTCAATGAATATTCTTTCCCCTTATCAGTCTGGTTTCCACCCGGGTCATTCTACAACTACTGCTCTTCTCAAGGTTACGGAAGATATTCGTGAGGGGATGGAAAAATCAAAACTGACCGTTCTCATCTTAATTGATTTTTCTAATGCATTTAATTCTGTCGATCATGGTATCTTGTTAGCTCTTCTTTCTCATTTGAATATCTCGTCTTCAGCTCAGGAATGGTTCTCAACATATCTTCGGGGGCGCCAACAGGCTGTGCGTACTGGTCATATACTATCTGACTGGCGTGATGTGTCAATTGGCGTCCCTCAAGGCGGTATTATCTCTCCTCTTCTGTTTTCCATTTTTATAAATCTCATCACACTAAATCTCAAGAGCTCTTACCATTTGTATGCTGATGATCTGCAGTTATATGCGCAAGTGGAGCCTTCAAATATCCTAAGTGCTATTTCACTGTTAAATGATGATTTAAAATATATCTCAGAATGGTCTACTGTGTATGGCATAAACGTGAACCCGTCTAAATGCCAAACGATAATCTTAGGTAGCTCAAGATTATTATCTAAACTGGATATTGCCACCCTACCATTAATTATGTTTAATAATAATGTCATACCATTCTCTACTAGCGTAAAGAACCTTGGTCTGTACATCGATGGTTGCTTAACATGGAACAAACATATACAGGAGGTGAGTCGCAGAACTACTGGAACTTTGCGATCTCTATATCGATTTAAAAACTTTCTTCCCACCAATACCAAGATTTTACTTGTCCAATCACTTATTGTACCGATTATTGATTATGTCGATGTGTGTTGCTCAGACCTGTCTCAACTTCATCCTAATACATTGGATCGTCTGCTTAAAAACTGCATCAGATACATTTATGGTCTTCGTAAATACGACCATGTATCTTCCTTTCGTACACAGTTAAACTGTTTGCCTATCCGTCAGCGCAGATATGTTAGAATAATCTGCACCCTTTTTCTCAATTTTGAACGATCCATGTGCTCCCAAGTATCTGAAATCTAAATTTCAATACATGGGAGATTCTTATAATTTTTCTCTCCGTTCCTCGGCCAATCTTAAGTTGCTCACTCCTTTACACCGTACTGGTTATTTATCTCACTCTTTCGCCCTCGTGGCCATCAGATTCTGGAACGATATCCCTCTTGACATTAAAAAAGCTCCCAACAAATTCGTCTTTAAAAATCAAGTCCGTAAGTATATGATTAAATCGTTGCAAGTTTGAATTGACTAAGCTCTCTTTTTCGTATATATTTCATATTTGTTCTGACATATATAATATATTTTTACGAACCTATTGTGTATGTATATATATATATATATATATATATATATATACATTTATGTATTTATGTGTATATAGTGTATGTATGTATGTATGTATATATATTCTATTATATAATATATATGTATATATATATATATATATATTAAATATGTACTATATAATATGTATGTATTGTTTATTATATATATTATTATTTCTTTTATCCTCTCTATTTGATTATTGCTGCACCACCTCCATAATGTCTATCTCTGTTTAGCCTAATGGTTGACTGGGAGAGAATGCCCTATGGCATTAAGTCCGCCATATGTACTTTTTTGTGCATGAAAGTATAAATAAATAAATAAATTATACTAAGGCCAGTCATTAAGAGGTGGAGGTATATGTATTTTGAATAAATTAAGGTTATTTTAGACTGGTCTAAGTAGCCGCTTTGAGTGGGTTTTGCAAATCCTCTTTGAATTTTAGTTCATGGACTGCAAAAAAGGGGTGTCCGCTAACTCTGCTCGTCGCTTACAAGACATCAAGCAAGTTTTTCATGACAACAAGCTTCAGGTCCCTCGCCTACGGCACGGTTAACGAGTTAAGCCAGCTACAGTCGATGAATGAAATCCGTAAAAATGGGTATTATTTAAATGAAAATTACTTGTTAAGGAGTATTGGATAGTGAGAAGATATTTAATAAACTTGCAGATAAAATTGTAACGTTCCTAATTTCATTGCTTTGAAAATGCTTTTTTGTCGTGTCGTGTGTTGTTTTGTTGCCGCGAGAGAATCTAATAACTCATGTCAGCCCGCGAGTGTCATAAGAGGCGGCAGAAGAAAATGAAATAGCAACACCAACATCTTCTGATAATGACTCAAAATATTAAAAAACCGGGGTTACCTAGGGGTTGCTTGTGTTCAGCCATACATTTTTATAGGCTGTAATGACAGAATTTTTTCCTGTTATTAACGTCAAGCAGCAGTATATTCCCTCTTCAATCAGCGTAATTATTAACAAGCTGTGATAATGTATGGGCTGCAGAAGCCACTTACCATCTGGTTGATTCGTGTATTACTTTATAGCAAACAATATTTATAGTTATAAAATAAAAAGAGAGACAAATGCTCCCAGCTTAGAAAAGAAACTAACTCCAATAGTAGTTTGGTTGCATTATGGCAATTACCATAATTAATAACCAGAGAGAGAGAGAAAGACAGCGAGAGCAAGAGAGAGTTAGATAGAGCTAGAAAGAGAGAGGGAGGGAGAGCGAGAGCAAGACTAAGAGAGGGAGAGAGCCAGATAGAGAAAAGAATAGCTTAACACTAATCTCTATTCAACTAATAATGTAGTATCCTTACCCTCATTGTCACTTTTTTGACTGATTATTTGCCTGTATTCTGTCGAAAGACGCCTCCGACCATGTTCATATTTGGCTTCTTTAGCAAGTAGCGCTTCTCTCTGCATTTGTGTGCGAAGCTCCGTTGGTACGTCAGGAATAAATAGCTGCATTAGGCCCGTAAGTCCAAATACCACGTGCTAAAGTAAGGGTAGAAGAGAAAAAAAGAGTTAAGAGATACATTGATTTTTAGCTTCTTAAATTATTTCAGACTTTAAGTAACGATAAAAGTATTCGAAAGTTGCTGTGCGCCAGTGACGTTACGGAATCCATTATTTCATTTCATCAACTTGGTGTCGTAAGAGGCGATTACGTAAAGTTCTTGATACATGGAGCGATACCATCTCGCTTACGCCAGACGTATAGATAATGCTCAGATAGGTAAACTGTGAAGATTAAGCAAGATGTTTATGTCCAGCATTATATGGTTTGATGAAGAAGTACCGTATCTACCATTTCAACCTGGATGTTAGTTTGTGTACAGCAAGCAGATGAGATGAGAGACGGTACTTCTATCTAGAGTTCATGGCTATAGAGCTCCACAATCAAGAAGGAGATATACCACTCTCTTTATTTAATTGATATGTCTACATTCCTCACGCTGAGCATTTGCTTGCCCTATGGCAAGAGCAGAACCAATACCATCGCGCTGGTAAGATCTCGCGTTTCTTTTTATCAGTTATTTGAATTTGGCTTTTATATATTTGCTTTGAATTCTAGTATTATTCCACACTTTTCTGGAATCGCTAAAGCTTTGTTTGTTATACGAAATTACTGCTAGAGTACTGAGAGAGCTTTTACGTAGTAGAACCATGCTGCAGCCATGTTACTGATATAGTTGCAGCACGAATGGGTCGGCTCGACCGGTGAAAGACCACGCTCTCACGGAATACCAGCGTAAAATAGCAGCTTATATAACGCTGTTGTGTTTCGTATAGTCAGAGAACTGGAGAGCCTTTTTACTGGAAACAAGGCATTCCATCTTAGGCCTCACAGCTGAAAACGCACCTGCATTTTGATTCGTAATGGAGGATAGATGTAGATGATTATGGGCCACAGCAAATACTAACCATCTGGTGGACTGTGTGCTCGTTTGCCCTTATTCTATAAAAAAATGATTCGCATGCTCCTTGTTCCCTCCCCTTTATATTAAATCACTGGAAGGTAAGGGCTGATGATAATAATATTGCGGCGTACCTCGAATACCACGACGAAGGCGAGCCGCGCGGCGAACACGTGCCAGTAGTGTGGCGACAAGCCGTAAGGCTCGGGGTGCTGTGGTGGGTTTCGGTAGCCGCGGTATGCGCAAGTCGGCGGGTCCACCTCATTTTCGTCCGCACCCCAGTCTTCGCGATAGTCCGACGTGTTGAATACTGGTGGATTAATAATTTTTTTGTTGTTAACCAAAGAAAAAATCAGAAGAAAATAAATTCCCAAAATGATTTAAACATTAGTGATTTTAAAAGAATGTGAATTTCACTTAATAGCACTACGGAATATCCAACTACAGGTAGCTATTATTATACTGTTCATTTTTCTTTCAAAATTATCTAATATTATAAATATCAAGTTATTGAGTTAAAATTGCTTGTAAATTCTAACATTAATAAATAATACTTACGTGATAGAGAATGATCAATGTAACCAGTTAGAGTGTAGTCAGGTGAATAAACATATTTGTAGACCATTCGGGGTATAAAATCGCTGGTGTAAGCAATGACGAACGCCTGGATATAAAATATTACTAATTTTACAGTCGTCCGAAACTTTATGAAATAGAATAGAATAGAAAAGAGTTAGAATTATATGCCAAGGAAAACATTGGCATAGATAGGGCTCAGTTCTTCCCTATTTAAAAACACATTGGTATTCAGATTTTTAATATTCGGTCTTATAAATTTTATATCATGCCATCATCTACGAAATTGCCGTTTTTTTATAAAATAAGTTAAAGGAATTTTTTTCTATATTTTTATTTCTAATAATCAAAGTAATCACCCTTATTCTTTTTATTCCTTATTCCTTTGGTAAGAAGCTGTGACGAATCACACCGGCGCTGTACCACCAAACAGTGACTATCACTTTTCTATGGGCAAGTTTTTGTTTAGGGCATTGTTTAGGTTCTGAACCAGGATCCAAACAACTTGCTGAGCGCTTGCGATTGTCAAACCGAATCTATTTTTCATCGCAGGTAACAATACGGTTCAAAATTCCTTTGTTTGTGTGCCTGTTGAGCAGTGCAAAGTATGGCTCGACGTGTATTTCGCGCTAGCAATCATTGAGTTTATGGGGCACCCATTTATCAAGCTTTTTTACCTTGCTAATTTGACGCAAATGGACCAATATTATATTGATACTAACTACAAAAACTGCTGCTGATTAAGCTGTAAATTTTGTTCGTTCGTTTGTAATATTCACTCCGTAAGCGTCGTTGATTTGCGTGCCACTTGTACTGCGTTGTTGCCATGACAGAACTCATATTTCATAATTCGACCATGTGAAAAAAGATTCAGATGCGATGAAAACATAAACGCTTAGCAATAAATAAATGACTAATTTTGGAAAATAATTCCATGCTCTAAAAATAATACTAATTAGAGATTAGAATTCTTATCCAAACATAAATTATTTTGATTTGAAATGGCCAGTATTGCAAAACGGCAATTTGATACGAGTAGATAAAGACCTTACATTTAGTTTTAATATCGTTTAAATTTATATTATTAACTTGAAACCAATGTAATATTTCGATATAGTATTATTATTCCCCTTGTCGTACTTAAATGATTGCCGGTTAAAGTAAAAATGGGCAGGTAAGTCCTTAATATAGACTTGAAATAGGAATGGGATAAGAATTGAGCCCTGAGGAACACCCATTAGTACAGGTGTCTTTATCCCGGTCGAGCTGATTCGTGCTACAACCATAATATAGCTGCAGCATGGCTCCACCAAAACATGGAAGTGAAATAATCTATGATGCATAGATGACTTGCAAATGTTACCCAATGGAAGCTTATAACTACGCGTAGCCTGTTTCCAAAAAGATGAAGTAAGATTACTATATACTTACATTAGAAACGACTGCTGCATACGTAATTCCTCTTAAAATGCCGTACCTGAAAATATAGAATAATATTTTTTTATTAAAAAAATGATTTTAAAATCTAAAGTTTTTCAAAGTTTAAAAAAAAAGAATTAATAAGAATAAAAGCGCACCAGGCTCCAATGTCCTCTACTCGTTCGGCGAGCGGTCGTCTTGCTTGCGTGACCATCTTGTAAGCGTCTAGTCTAATTTCTGCAATATTGTTGAGAAGGGCGAAAAGCGGTGCGAGGGGAAATGCTGCTACGAATAAAGTGACGAAACCGTATTGAAGAACTGTAATACGACAATAAATCCAAAATATGTACAAATTTTTAACAAATCTTTTTAACATAATGATTTCTCATATTTACGCGAACATTGCACATGATTAAAACTACTTTTACGGATTTTATCGCGTTTATTTTACTATTATTTTTAATTCCCGACGTTTCGGGCGCTTTCCAGCACCCATGGTCACGGGGGACTGAGATGACTGACGTCCCGATGTCATTGTTAAACCCGGAGTACCTTCAGCTTTTTTAATTATTGTTTATGGTCCGATCTATGCAAAATGAATATGAATGAACTTTATATGTCCTGAGGTCTTGCAGTGGTATGCTTGGGTTTAGTTTTAATTTTATTGATTATAGGATCCCAAGCAGGTGGTAGTACCCAGCCTCCTTCTCTATTGAAATTAGGATGTTTTTTAATTTCAATAGCCTCACGTATCATCCTTGGTAGGAATCGGTGTTCTTTCGCGAGGATTTGTGGTCTATCAAATCTGATGTAATGGTTGGGGCCGTCTAGGATATGATCACAAACTGCAGACTTCCCGGAACGTTGATGCTTCACATCAGCTATATGTTCTTTTACGCGGGTCCTAATTGATCTTTTGGTTTGTCCTATATAAGAACGTCGAAATTACGAACGTCGAAGATACGAAAGAAACGTCGGGAATTAAAAAAATAAAAAGTAAAAATAAACGCGATAAAATCCGTAAAAGTAGTTTTAATCAAATCTTTTTAACAATGTAATTTTCATTTTATATAAAATTATGCTATATTTTTATTTTTATTTTTATTTTGAAACAAAATTATCATAAGCAATGACCAACTAAGGAAATTAAAGATAATGTATGGTAAAATGACTTTTATAGAGTGGTTTTTTTTTCTGTACGTGGTAGAGCCATGCTGCAGTTATATTAGTAGTATAGTTGTAGCACGAATGGGTCGGCTCGACCAGCCGTCGTAGTACCAGCGTGAAATGGTAGCTTGATGCTGCGTTTCGTATGGTGAGTGTAGAGAACCGGAGACCCTTTTTACTGGAAATGAGGCATTCCATCTTAGTCCTCACGGGTGACAACACATCTGCATTTTGATTCGTAATCGAAGATAAATGTAGATGTCTATGGGCCACAGCAACCACTTACCATCAGGTGGACTGTGTGCTCGTTTGTCACCCTATCCTATACACACACACACACACACAAATATATATATATATATGTATATATATATATATATATAAACACTGGTATATAACATGAACACTGATACAAACAATGATACATATAAACACTGATCACCGACTAATGGATCTGATTAAGTAAACTTAAAGATCAAGATGTCTCAATGGCTCACTTACTCATTTCAAGGTATTCGTCAAAGAGCGCAAGTCGACCGGGATCTTGTAAGTGGTAGTCCTGCTCCCATGCCATGTCGGGCTTATTGGGGTCGCGTGTAACTGCGCGGTGTGATCTTTGCCGCCACCAATTATGAAACTTTCTGCAAATAAATAAAGAAATATGTTAATTTTATATAATAACAAACCCACTTTAAACTATGTTACACTGTTACTTAGAAAATTAGTCATTCAAAATTAATTTAAATTTAGTTGTGTGGACTCGGCTTTTACTTACTCTAAAAAAATTGATAACCAGGAAGACTATGTTTTTGTTTACAAGGATAAATAATCATATAGAACTAACTAATTTATTCCTCTCTCGATCAGAAAGTCTAGTTAGCAAAACGTCTAACTACGTGGAAAGTCTAATTATCGGTACGTCTAATTAGTAAATTAACTAATGTAGCCACGTTTATTACATGTATCAGTTTTAGATATTATTTGTAAATACCTGTCCAATGGACCTTAATCATGTGTTTATTACGTATTTATTTATTTACACTTTATTGCGTTATTTGTAATGCTTTTTACCTTTGGGTCGGACTTAATGCCCTTTGGCATTCTCTCCCATTATCCCATATTTCTACAACAAGAAAGATTCACAACCCGCTGTGAACTTAGACTAATGATTGGTTTTCACTACGCTCCAACTGGATACCAACTTACCAGTAAACCATAGTTTCTTGAATACTGCAACTCAATATCGTTGTTTGTATCGAATATTTTTAAATTATTGATAGTATGTGGTCTCAATGCCTTTCTTGTTTTTTGTAATATTGTTTTTACACAGTTCACTACGCAAACTGGCATTTTAATTTGAATTATGACATGCATCACCTCGAGACTGACTCGAGTACGCCAACTTCGATGTAATATTTATTGCCATTTTGCACTAGTACGTCATACTCGTACAGTAACGACGTAAAAGACTCCATCATCTAATTTCATCTTGTGGGCGTTGTAGAATTGTGGGAAAGGCTAGAAACACCTCATGACCTCTGATAGGTGATGGTATACCATTTCGCAAATGCTAGATATAAAATACCCGGACCCGCGATGTGGAGCAGTGTCAAAGATATAAGTCATCTAGTATTGCAATAGTCCATTCACCTGCCATGTGGTAATTATGTTAAATCCTTCCTACAGTGGGAAAAGCCTGTAAATCTTCAGCGTACGAGATAATAAGAAGAATAAGATACCTGAGCGACCAAGTTTTGATCCTTGTTTTATAGAGTAAGAGAGACAAATGAGTACATAGTCCACTTGATTGTAAGTGTATGCGGTGGCCTATAGATATTTAGATATATACCCGATTAAGAATCAAAATGCAGAATGCGTTGTCACCACTGAGGAGTAAGATGCTATTTCTCGCTGGTAGGAATTCTGTGAGGGCGTGGTCCTTTCCCGGTTGAGCCGAACCATTCGTGCTACAACCATAATACTCGTATAGCTTCAACGTAGCTTTACCACGTATTTTCACTCAACGTTAAATTTAAAAAAGAAATGAAAGAAGGCATGAGCCCAGAAGTAGGGCGTATATAAGCCTGTAACTTTTGAACTTTATACAAAAGAACGTAGCAAATCTACTCACGGATATCCGAGCTCAAGAATATTGTTCAAGCACTGTTTGCCGACCATGATGATTGCGAGCTGGATGCACAGCTCGGATAGACAGCCAGCTGGATCACATATGTCACCCTTAAGCTTAAGAAATTCGGACTCGCGCGCTTGATCGTCTCCCGGGTAGTCGTAGAAACGACCCTAGAAAGATATTTGAAACACCATTTATACGAATATCATTCTAGTCCCATTGTCCAGCCTTATAGCTGATTAATCGAAAACACTCATATAAATTTTAAAAATATGTATATTTATAAATATGTACATTTTGCGACATTAATCATTATTTTATTAGATAATAAGGCTCTATTTTTGCCTTGATATACATTATACATGTAGGAAGGAACCACCTTCATGTACATTTCCGACTCTAAGCAGCTGGACAACACTTTGACGTCAAACAGAACCAGTATATGTAATTATATAGGTTGATTGGTCATTTTAAAGTTCTACCCTGACTTCTATAGTAAATCTAAATCTTGCCGGTGCGACAGCGCCCAATAGCGAATGAGCGATCGAGCGAACGACCGTTACATTCCCGCTACATATAGCGTGTTTATTTTTTATTACATATTATAATATATATTTATCTAGTCTTCAAAACAAAAAGCGATCCTGCCATTTTAAAGTTCTACCCCGACCCCGAATTTTTTTAATGATTGTTTATAAGCGTCACACAGTGTAAAATTGTAAGCTTACAACTTTGCGGCGAAATTATAGCGATCGGAGGGCTCTAATAATGCCTGCAACACACGTAGGAAACATGTCATCCATGATGGAAGATAATGACGCACTTGCGTTATTGGGCCTGATTATGTGTTTGAAGGAAATAAAAGTTTTTGTATTTTTTGGAGCCTGTTGTAGGTGGCATTTTTTTGTTCCGATCATGGTACTAGTAACTTTACTAGGAAAGTTTCTAATAACTCTTCCATTTGTTCGCGGTGTCTACCTCTTTTTTATTTTCGTTTTTGCAAGAGAGCTCCATGACGGACTGCCGAACTGAGCGAACGCCGTCGACACGCGACGACAAAACTGTGCGAACGCAATCGACAACGATTTATCCGATACGACCGGAGAGAGATCGGATCGGCTTTACGTGCTTTCCGAGGCACGGGGGTGATATACTGCCAACTTCCTGACTCCGAGCAGCTACTGAGAACTATTTGACGGATAAACTCAATAACAGATTTTCATGATCAGTATGCGTATTTACAATCCTTACATCAACGAGACAGTCAACTATAACAATATATAACAATCATTTCATTAAATTCTAAACATATATTTTACCTTAAAAAAAGCAATATAGATAAGTGATGAATAAAAATTCATAAATTCGAAGAAAAATATCTTAAACGTGTAAGAGTCTTCGTACTCCGTTTGCGTCCGAGGATTTTCCATGTTCGTTAAATACACAGCTACTTTTGAGTATACCTGAAAGAGAGTATAATTAAAAATTTGGTCGTTTATGTCCGTCCAATGAAAGTCAAAATAAAATACACAAAAAAATATTAAAAATAGTGATGCATATTCTGTTAGCACAAAATACTTTTTTAGGGTAATTATAGGTTTAGAAAATATGCAGTTTTATCTATCAGAAAGCTTAATTTTTTATTAAAAAATTGTGCAAAAGGGTTATTAGGATATTAAAAACTAAGTGATTGATAACATTCCCGGGGAAGTATGAGGTGATTGCTGCCATGCTAATTGTTTTTTGTATTTACTCATTAATTCAATTTAAATATAGTTTATAAAAAAGGTGGAGTAAGGTTGAAATAATACTAATTTTTACGGAATTTATCGCGTATATTTAACTTTTTTACCCGACGTTTCGAGAGCTTTACAGCACCCATGGTCACGGGAAGGACTGAGATGTTCAACGTCCAGCTGTCATAGTTAACCGCGGTTACCATAGATTAAAATTTAACTTTTGTTCCGATCTACACAGTATTAAATTTTAAATTTTAATCTATATCTATATCTAATAAATTTTAAATTTTACGACGACACGAACATAGAAGGATATGGAAACGAGAATATGGATACCATATCGTCGTTTGTAAAGGTATTAGGTACCTTTACAAACGTCAATATGGATATACCGGTATTAGGGCAAATCTACGCTGTATTTTTTCGACCATAATGATTTTTCTTGGAGATTCATTGAATTGACAAGCGAATTTATAGTCCACGTAATGGTAAGTGGCTACTGCAGTTCATGAACACCTGTAGCCACTTCAAACAAAGAAGGCTTACAGATGTCTTAAAGGGAGTTCGCAAGAGCTGAAATATGTTTAAGGTTATAACATCATAGTTTAGTAGAGTAAATTAATGCAAGTAATTAATGCTCACCCTTGTAAGAAACATAATAATAATCAAGTTTATCACTGCGGCTGTCATTGCGGTAAATATTTTGGCGTGTTTTTTGAGGAAAAATCCAGTGCCGCCGTAAATAACCGACACCATGGAAATGCGATAAATGATGGTGCCCAAAACAGCACCCATCACTATAGTAATCTGCAAATTCAGTAATGCAATAAATAATCAAACTTTATTTTATATGAGTACGAATCAACGGATTTAATTTACGCAGTTAACTTTATCCATCCGTCCATTACAGCCTATAAAAGTCCGTTGAACATAGGCCGCCTCCATAGGTTGCCTCATATGACTTGGCTTTTGCCTTTTTATAGCATTGCTTGACAAAGGAGCACACAGTCCACTTTTAAATAATACTACCGACCGACGTTTTGAACACTTTACAGCACCCATGGTCACGGGGGAGACTGAGATGTTCAACGTCTAAATGTCATAGTTAACAGCAGTTACCATAGATTAAAATTATTAATTTTTGTCGTGTTTTTGTTGTGATGGTACCACAAGCAAAATCCACTATCAGTGAACTTAAACACTTTGTAGTCTATTATGATTTAGGATTTACCATAAACAGAACTGCAGAGCTTGTTGCTACGTATCGCATAGTTTTTTGCCAAGGTGGTAGAAAAGGTTCTTTTTCTCGCGTTACAGGGTTGGTGCGAAATGTTTTGACAGAAGCCTCAAACTCAGGCCGTGGTTCTTCATCCTGGAACATTTTCAAAGAGATATGAACTATTATTGGTATAGATTATAGATAAATTATAAGTACTTATGTATATTATAGTATAGTTTGTTCTAATTTATAGTCATACTTTTGCAAATTAATTAATTAATTTCTCACGAAAAAAGTTTTATATATATAATTTTTTTTATTTTAAAAAAAATTTTGTAGTCCAAATTTATTAATGAATAATGGAATATTGGACAATACTATAATTAGTATTGTCCAATATTCAATTATTATTTTTATATATTTATTTAGCACTTTTGATGTTTGTAAAAAGATTCTTTTACAATCGTAGTTTTTTTATATATAAGTAACGTCATTAGTGTTAAGTTTTACCACTTCTGATTTATATTAAGAACCTTTTGTACATTAAGCTAGAAAATAAATACTTGTTCAAGTGTACAACCAACAAAAAATCAAATAGATTTTTGCTGCTTTGTAAATTAAACAGTCATCATTGACTTATTGCCACTTTCTTTAAAATATTATTTTCTCATATAATATCACCTGAAGCGAGTAATCCCATCAGAAATCAATTACTTTAGGAATTGTTTAAGTTATAGAATACTATAATACACAATAGAATGGCTGTCAACCTTATTTTGTACCGGGACCTTTATTTTCGCCGGGAGCACACATAGAAGCAATTACGTCGTGTTATCAGTTAATTACTACTACAAACCGGATTCACTGTGTTGACAGACGGATTTTAATACATATTTATTAGTAAACAGCGTGCAATTTGGCATTTTCTAAATAACTTGCATGCGAAATATGGAAACGATTGTAACGTCAGAACACATCTCATGTTGACATTTATACGTGTGACTTGACGTGTTAGTGGCATTTTAGTGGCTACACGGGCTCCGCCCACTACCCCGTTCTATTATGTATGTATTATAGTATTCTATGGTTTAAGTGAATGCTTAAAATAGGCATTCATTTTAAAATCCAAAAAGGTTTATATGAAATTCATACATTAATATTATTCTAACTCACTTACATGATCAACACCACCTAAATCCCACTCCCAACGTAATACTGATTGTTTTCGTTTCCAAAGTTCAAGGAATGTGGTTGCTGAAAGAATTCATAAGAAAGTCATTGAGCTGTTTTAAAAAATAAAACTAAATAATGCAGATGGTGTTGAATTTCAAGTCAAATATAATGTTGGAAATTATTTTTTGTAGAAGAGGGGGTAAACGAGCATGCGGCTCCACCAAACACCGCCCATGAACAACTGCAACACCGTGGGAATTGTTGATGCGCTGCTGGCCTTCATTCTTTAAAGGTAATAACAATCACGTTCTTGCCTTGTACATACAATAATAAAGATATTAGTTTGCAACCATCCGCCAATTAAATACAATGATGTGTCTTACCTGGATTGAAGAGCACCTCCCGCCCTCCCTCAATTGCGTGCACTAATCCCGTCACCACTAATCCCAGCACCACTACTCCCAACACCACTACTCCCAGCACCATACTCAAACCACTATTCAATCCAGGTAAGACACATCATTGTATTTAATTGGCGGAAGGTTGCAAATTAATTAATATCTTTATTATACTAGATTTCCGCAAAGTAACGCCTGATTCTATCAATTAACAAATTCTTGAGCAGATACCGTATAAAAATCTTCAACTGATAATAAACGAATTCTTACTACCAGTTTAGATATATAGTTGTTAGACATTAACTAAGATTTTTGTTAAGCCCTGACTTTTTAAATAATATTACCCCTCACCGTGGTAGCTCAGATGATTAGCGCTTGCTGTAAATTTCACAGTACGCGAGCAAACCGGGTTTGATCCCCGCCGGCACCAATGAAATTGTTAATTGTAATTTAAAGTGCTGATTTACCACGCGCTCGGCGGTGAAGGAAAACATTGTGAAACCTGTATGTCTGAAAAATAAGAAAAAAAATATTTCAAAGAGATGTGAAATTCGCCAACTCGCATTGGGGCAGCGCGGCGGACAATTCCTCGGAATAAAACCCTCTCAGAAATGAGGGGAGGCCCGTGCGGACGTATAATATAGGCTGTAACTTTAACATTACCCCCATTCTGGGATTTTCTCCTGTATCGTAGAGGCAGTTTACAGAACACAAATTGCACAAGGATAAAAATCGAAACCCGGAACAATTATTTGTAGGCCATAGAAATACTTGTTCCGTTCGGGGTTCGAACGCACGGCTTCCCCATGCAATTTAATGTGAGTCACTGTGCCAAGGAGCCGTCAAATGCTGTTAAATGAGATTATAAATACTCACCCGAATACTCGACCTCATTAAAATTACACTGAAGATGATATTGCAGCACTTTGTTTTGGAGAATAAGGGTGCCAAACGAGCACATAGTATGTTTATTAAGCACTTTTATAAGTGGTTGCTTTGGCCCATAGATATCTACATCTTTTTTCAATTACGAATCAAAAAGCAGATGCGTTGTCACCCGTAAGACTAAAGGTCGCTGCATACGTAACGTGTTTTATCCCGGACGGGGCGGGACGTGAAATTTTGGAAATATCGTTTCATAGAAAATGTGCGTGATAATGCATACGTAACGGATGCACGGACGGCACGGGGACGTGACATGAACGGGGCGGGAAAATATGGTCGGCGACGATGTTTACCCCGTCCCACCCGGCGCGTGCCACGTCCCGTCCGTGGTTCCGTCCGCTGCGTATGCACAGTCGCTCCGTTGGCTACGCAGTGATGCGCGTGTTGTACCGAACGAAATGTACGACGAAAAACTAATTTAATGTGTATGATCATGTCCATGTTTGTATAATCCTTGCACAACATATTGAAACAAAATATAAAAAAAATTTGTAAGTTTAAATTTTATTTTCCATTTATGTTGTCATACGTAAATACATATGAAATTGAGTCTTGTCATCCAAATTTTCTTTGTAGAGATTGTAGTGTGATCAGAAGGTGATCCTTCTAATCCTATTTCCTGCCAAGTATGATGTACAGAAAATCTCCTTTTGCTCTTGAGTGTTGTAGCTTCTTTTTCATTTGAAGCAATAGCAATTAATGCCAATTCTTCTTGTTTTTGTATGTCAGGGTGCGTATGCATTAAACTCCCGTCCGCGTTGATGTACAACCACATTCCGTCTCCGTCCCGTGCACGTGCTGATTGCGTCCTGTATGCAGCGACCTTAAAATGGATTGCCTCGTTTTCAGTGTAAAGGATCTCCGGTTCTCTACACTCCCATATGAAACACAGCAGCATCATCATTACAGCCCTTCACAAGTCCACTGCTGAACATAGGCCTCCCCCAAGTAATGCCACAAAGCACGGTCCTGAGCCACCTGCATCCATCGACTTCCTGCATGTCTTACCAGGTCGTCACTCCATCTAGTGGGGGGTCGCCCTACACTACGCCTACCGGTACGAGGCTGCCACTCGAGAACCTTTCTTCCCCATCGGTTATCGGTTCTTCGAGCTATATGGCCGGCCCATTGCCACTTCAGCTTACTAATCCGTTGGGCTATGTCGATCACTCTGGTTTTACTGCGGATATCCTCATTTCTGAGTCTATCACGCAGAGAAACTCCAAGCATAGCCCTCTCCATAGCTCGCTGAGCGACCTTAAGCGTCCTCATACGGCCAGCAGTGAAGGACCACGTCTCAGATCCGTAAGTCATCACTGGCAACACGCACTGGTTGTACAATCTAGTTTTTAGAGATTGAGGTATACCTGACGAAAAGATATGTCGTAATTTCCCGAACGCTGCCCAGCCGAGTTGAATCCGTCGATTGACCTCTCGGTCGAAGTTGGACTTACCTAGTCGGACTATTTGTCCCAGGTAAACGTACTCGTCAACAACTTCGAGCATAGTGCTCCCAACAACTACCGGCATAGGTGTGACATGGACATTAAACATGATCTTTGTTTTGTCCCTGTTCATCTTAAGACCTATCCGTTGGGAGGCACTATTGAGGTCATTGAGCATAATGCTTAAGTCCTCCAGCGATTCTGCCATAATGACTATATCGTCGGCAAATCGAAGGTGAGTGATGTACTCGCCATTGATGTTAATACCGTATCCTTTCCAGTCCAGTAGCTTGAAAACGTCTTCCAACGCAGCGGTGAAGAGTTTCGGGGATATAACATCACCCTGTCTTACACCTCTCTGCAGTTGGATAGGTTTCGAACTCTGGTTCACACAGCAGCATAAAGCTGATATTTTACGCCGGTATTCTGTAAGAGTTTGGTCCTTCCCCGGTCAGGCCGATCCATTTTTGCTACAACTATAATATGGCTGCAGCATGGCTCTATCACGTATAAATTAATAACTCACCCCAAAAAGACATAAATATTGCGAAGAACACAGTAGCGGGGTTGTCAAACAAGTAGGTAATTTTGGCAAAAAGACAAGAGTCCGACAGACTTTGGTACTGACATGCCTTATCGCAGAGCGGACATAAAGTTGTGTTGCCTGGACCATTGGTATCACATATCTCCTTGCTGAAACATAATTACCATAAGATTAACATAGTAAGGATAGACTGCGAAAATTTATGTAAGTTGAAAAGTAGGAATATTCCGCACTAAAAAAATATCATTAGTGTTAATAGACTTTCTGGTATATAAAAGAAAAATAAAACAAAATAGGAGACGATATGGGGTAGTAGATGTTCTTACACTGCCACTACACGTTAAACTTTGATACACAAGATGTGATTTTTTGAATAAAACTATTATTTACGGATTTTATCGCGTTTAATTACTTTAATTTATTTTTATTATTATCCCGACGTTTCGGGTGCTTTACAGCACCCATGGTCACGGGGGGGGGGGACTGAGATGTTTGACATCCCAATGTCATAGTTAGTCCGGCTACCTTCAGTTTTTTTTAATATTATTTTTTGGTCCGATTTACGCAAAACGAGCTTATAGTATCATGAAGTCTTGCAGTGGTATGCTTGGGTTTGGGTTTAATTTTGTTAATTATAGGATCCCAAGCAGATGGTAGCACCCAACCATCTTCTCTATTGAAATTTGGATGTTTTTTAATTTCAATAGCCTCGCGTATCATCCTTGGTAGGAATCGGTGTTCTTTTGCGAGAATTTGTGGTTTATCAAATCTAATGTAATGGTGGTGATGATCTTGAACATGTTCGCAGACTGCAGTCTGCGAACATGCGATTCCTACCAAGGATGATACGCGAGGCTATTGAAATTAAAAAACATCCAAATTTCAATAGAGAAGATGGTTGGGTGCTACCATCTGCTTGGGATCCTATAATTAACAAAATTAAACCCAAACCCAAGCATACCACTGCAAGACTTAATGATACTATAAGCTAGTTTTGCGTAAATCGGACCAAAAATTACTATTAAAAAAAAACTGAAGGTAGCCGGACTAACTATGACATTGGGACGTCAAACATCTCAGTACCCCCCGTGACCATGGGTGCTGTAAAGCACCCGAAACGTGGGGATAATAATAAAAATAAATTAAAGTAATTAAAGGAGATAAAATCCGTAAATAATAGTTTTATTCAATGTGTAGTGTTCGCGTAAATTTAAGAAATCATTATGTGATTTTTTACGAAGTTATATTAATGTAAACGTTTGTTCAATGATTTCTGATGATATTTACGCGAGCACTACACATTGATTAAATTTATTATTATTGCTTTTACGGATTTTATCGCGTTTAATTTTAATCATTTTAAATTCCCGACGTTTCGGGTGCTTTCCAGCACCCATGGTCACGGGGGACTAAGACGACTGATGTCATTGTTAAACCCGAAGTACCTTCAGCTTTTTATTTTATTTTTTATTATTGTTTATGGTCCGATCTATGCGAAACGTCGGGAATTAAAAATAATTAAAATTAACCGCGATAAAATCCGTAAAAGTAGTTTTAATCAACTTTTATTAAAATTATTATTCACCTGGGAATGTTATCATCGGATTCCATACTGGCTAATCCGTATAAAAAGCACAAAGTTCCAACAATAGCGGGTGCGTATAACATCTTAGTGTAGAATCCTAGCCAGCAAAAGTAAAGCCCAATTTTATCACCAAAATAGCGCCGGACTAACCACAGTGGCTGTTTCTTGTACCATTTGCTAGGTCTCGCCCATTCGAGATAGAGAAGCTGCAAGGGTTATTTTAATATATATATATATATTAGATAAGATAACAAAACTCTATTTATTTATATAAAATAATCTATACATACGAGTAGATGCTATAGTAAAACTAAGAGAACAATCATTTTTGGAAACATCTGTCTGTCAGAACACGTATCACACAAAAACTAGTGAATGGATTAGGTAACAAAGATTAGGATAAAAACAGTCAGAATAAATATATATCATCACGCTATGTTAATTAGGGCCTGGGTCCTGATTGGTTGCAATGAGATCGAGCACGACTTTCATTTCACAAATATAATTAATTCATAACGAAAAAAAGCGCTACGCCGTGTCAGCGATGCTCCCGCTTTATTTTTTAGCACGAGGAAATATCGAGCATCGTTTATAAGGATACCATTTGATACAATAACACGCATATTTTTAAGGTCCCTTACTTAAAATAGGTCAAATTCAATAAATTAAAGTTGCGTCCATATTTTTTATATTACTTTTTGAATGTTTGTCATACCATTTATGTATATCCGGAAAATCTTCGTGTATTAAAACTAATAATAATGTATTTCTTGATACTTACTCTTCTATCAGTAGTAGACCCATCAGGATTATCAGCATCATACCGACCCTCGTGAAGCGGAAAACATGCAAGATAAGTACCATCATTGAGTAATCTTCGGATTCCCATCTGCAAATAAATGTACTTAATAGTTATAGAATTTTTAATACAAATAACATACGACCTTATATAATATCTAAAGGTAACAGAACAATGCTCATTTAAAAATGCAAGGACTGACAATCCTTGCATTTTAAATGAGTCATTTTTTTCTAACCGAATATAAAGAAGTAAAGATAATAACAGATGCTAAGAATGGCTTATCCGTGTGTTTTATGTTACTGAACAAAAATACTATGAAATTTCCAAATTGAAATCTGATCACAATAAAAATCTTACTGCTATAATAATATAATATGTGTTCGTATGGTGAGTGGAGAGAACCGGAGACCCTTTTTACTGGAAACGAGGCATTCCATCTTAGTCCTCACGGGTGACAACGCATCTGCATTTTGATTCGTAATCGAGGATAGATGTAGATGTCTACGGGCTACAGCAATCACTTACCATCAGGTGGACTGTGTGCTCGTTTGTCACCCTATCCCATAAAAAAATCTAACTTGTTAGAAGTAAGGAGTACAAACTGTGTATTAAAAAGTGTCCATAGAAAACCGTTAAATGAGGGTGGCGCCACTATAGCTACGGGCTAAATTTTAAAGAACGTGCCGAAAAATATTAGTGGGATAGACGACTTTTTCGAGGTTATATTTGCTAAATAAAATTATTTTAGATTTTACCGCTACTGAACAGTTTAGCAGCACACTTCAAACCGTCGACAAATGCTAAGTTCATTTCATCCCAGTAGGTACTCCAGCGCTGTTGTGGAGAGTTTTTAAACTGTTATTTACTGCTTACAGATGGCCACTTTTTCAACTATTCTACTATGGGAGTTGGTACTCCTTACTTCTACACTTCATAGATTTTATGTCAGATTCGGTCGAGTCGCTTTTTGTCTATCCATTCTGTCTGTTTGTATATTTTTTAAAAACGTTGTCCTCATACCAGATTTTTTCCCGCTTCGTGTAGGCAGTTAACATTCAAAAATTAAACAAGAACAAACATCTAGACTCGGAACAATTATTTGTAGGACATACAAACTGCTCAATTTAAGTCATTGCATCACGGAGCCCTCGAACCAGTCGTTGGTAACTCATTACATTTCTCCTGAAATTGTAGTTGTACATATTTTTAATGGGATTTTTTACTTATATTTACAAAATTATTCCTTTTATACATAGTTATACATTTTGCTATACTGCTTAAAAAGGTTTAAATATAAACTTGTTTTTATTGTACAATGTTTTAGAAATAAATTAAGTAAAAAGAAAAAAAATATCCTATGATGCATAGTAAATGCTGGTAGTTCTCGCACATCTGCATCAAAAAAGTCTACCTTTTACCAACAAAACAATGAAGGACACCTCTGAGGACTAAGATGTAATGCCTCGCACCCAGTAAACTTGCATGCTTCTTCATTTAAATTATGATATAAGAATAATTTTAACTTTACCTTAGTTTCTGTACTGTCATATTTTGCTCGAAGTAAAATTTGCATAACCAATAAACTGCGTTGTGCTGGAGAAAATTGTGTGTGACGATCTTTTACTAGAAATCTACAAGCAGTAAAATTATATTATATTTATTACTATTTTCAGTGAATTAAGTCTTGCAACAATGTTAGAGGTTCATATAATAATAGCAGTGGATTTTTGCTGGTTGGCAAAACAAAACTTTTTTCTTCTTCACCAGCCTTTGAGGCACGAAATTTCATTGACTATAAAATACTCTACTATATATATACATATGTAATTACTTTAAGATAAAAAATGTTTAAAAAAAGTTTATGCTCAAAACGTCATAAGTAACATTAAAATTGCTTAGAATGTATTATGGAAATTACTTTAAATACAATAAGGCTCCGTTTATATACTAGGAAGCTGAGCTCTGCGAGAAGGCATATCTATTTTTACTAATGTCGTACCAGTAATACGTAGTACAATTATTTATTCTGTGATCTGTGCCAGTAGGTCTATTGACTAGCCGCCACACCATCTCGCATAGATCCATAGATGCCTCGCACCATCTCCCTCGCACGTCTCCTTCACACGTCTCCCTCGCACGTCTTCCTCACACGTCTCCCTCGCACGTCTTCCTCACACGTCTCCCTCGCTCACGACTCCTGCACATATCTTTCGCTTGTTTTGTATGTATAAAGTCCTCACTCCACTAAGCTCTTACATTAGAGCTGCGCTAAACAAAGTTAGAAAAATATTGTAATCCTAATTGTGTTTTTTTTTCGCGTACCACCTATCTCGCACAGCTCCCGTAGAAACGCAACGCTAAGAAGACTGCAAATGCGTTGACATATCTAAGGATAGCTTCTTATTGTCTTCAGACCGGAAAACAGGAGTGTATGCACTGCTGATTGATGGAGAAATGTTTTTTTATAGAAGTGAGGGAAACGAGCACACGACTCGCCATGATTACCGCCGTGCATGAACAACTTTGTTTAAGTTGCAGATGCGTTGCAGGCCTTTTAAAAAGGAGTAGGCTCTTTTCTTGAAGGTCCCTGAGTCGTATCGGTCCGGGAGTCTAGTGGTAGTCGATGCCACAAGTTTGTTGTGTGAGGAAATTGCAACAAGTTTGTTGTTCTTTTAAATCGCAGTGGTGGACAGCCAGTCATCCAGATGGTATGAATGGTGTCGCAAGTTTTGTCGCAATGTGAGATAGTGAAATTGTGCGGCTGGAATTAGTCCGAACAATTCCTCAGACCATTCCGCGTGGTAAATGCGATATATGGGGGTAACTAGTAGGTATTACCTACCTAGGCAGAATCCAGGACATAAAAGATGTCTTACGACCTTGTGAATTGATAAAGCTCGCCAGTGCAATTTACTGAAAGAAATAATATTTGTATCACTTTCTCTTCACTTACTGTTCTTCTCTTCGTATTCCCTTCTGTTCCGTCGCATCATAAAATGAGGGTTCTGGTTCTATTCGACTGTGCTCATACTCATACATTTCCTTCCACCTTCTCCGCCATTTCGAGTACCATTTTCTTTCTTTCTCTGCTAATTTCTCATCGGACTGTAATTGAGATAAAACATTTTCATTTAAGTCATAAATTATTTGCTGTGGTCACCACTATGTATACGTAAACATGTTTAATCATGTAAAATACCCAAACCACAACGGGTTGCAACATCAAAGTTGACGAACGAAAAACTCTGCTTGTGTGATCAATCAGACTGTCAAAGTTAAGAACAATGCAAACCCTGCTTCAGCTGCAGACTTTTACCAGCTGTTAAAGAAGAAGAACTGTTTATTAACACATTTCTATACTAAGAGCCTATACAACCTCAGCTCAAATTCAAATTTCGTCTCAACTTCCCCGCGCGTCGTATGCTATCTATTTACATGCTTGTAATCTCTTAATACTGTAAAGTAGATAGGTCGGTGGATACATACATACTTCACTACGTATATCATATGTTTGCTAATCCAGTCGTTCCTTATTTTTATTATGGTTATTTCCCATTTTAATTTTACGTCGTTCTGTTGCGTAATGTATGTTCTGAGTGCAAGCGACTCAGCTTTCCCATTCGAAAGACGAAACAAGACTGAGAGGGGGTGTCGGGCGCCAGGGAACAAGCTTCAAGACGCTGAAAATTTAGGTGATTCCTTTTTTACGATGAAAATAATGTTAATCAAAAAAAAAAAAAAAAACATAATACCTGCTTTATAATTAGTTCAGTTAGTGATCACACTAATAGGGTGTGCAAAGTTTCACGATTTAATTCGATTTATTTTAATTTGAAGTATTTTGTGAATGCCAGCGGTTTATTGTTGGGTTGGGAGGTAGCATTGGATTTTTTTCTATCGAGAAAATTTTATGGAATCGTGTTTTTGTCTAACATTAATCCTCAACTTTGCCATATATTTATATCTAAATTAATTCTGCGGTATTTTTAGCATAACGGATGATCATGCTAAGTCATTTGAGTAGTATAGGCTCTTAATTTTTAGACTTAATTTAAAGACCTTAAAGAGAGAAAGACAGAATTTAAAGACTTAATTTAAAGACCTGCGACCTGTTAGCGTATTACCCTGTTTGTCTAAAATCCTAGAGAAAGCTGTATGTAATCAGTTAACTCATTATTTAGACCAAAATGAAATTCTACCGAGTGTACAGTCTGGCTTTAGGAAACGACATAGCACTACAACAGCTCTGGCCGATGTAGTGGATAATGTTTTAAGTGCTCGGGATTCCGGTATGGTTACAATTCTAGTTCTTCTAGACTATTCCCGTGCATTTGACACGTTAAATAGGGAGTTGTTACTCTCTAAATTAAACTACTATGGATTAAGCTCGGAAACTATAGATTGGTTTCGTAGCTGTTTTAATGACCGTAGGCAAACTGTCGAAGTAATAGATGAAAACGGCAATAAAATAACATCTGATTGCTGTGCTGTTACAAGAGGTGTTCCGCAGGGTTCAATACTTGGTCCCTTGATTTTTTTCGCTGTATAGTGCTGACATCGTAAAACATATATTAAACTGTAGCTATCATATATATGCTGATGATATACAAGTGTATATTTCTTTCAAGCCAAATGAGAGTACTGTAGCCATACAAAAATTACATGAAGACCTAAATCGTATAGTCGACTGGTCTGAAGCAAATACATTAGTACTCAATCCTAATAAAACGAAATATATGCTACTTGGTACCAAAAAACAAATAAATAAATTATTGGCAAATCATCCTTCAATTTCAATTAAAAATGTAAATATTGATCGAGTTACTGAGATTAGAAATTTAGGAATATTGATGGATGAGGCACTACACTTCGAAAAACATATAATAAATAACGTTAAAAATTGTTTTTACAGATTAAAAGTTCTATACCAGATAAGGGATGTATTAAAGACGGAAGTCCGTATCAGATTATGTGAGTCCTTGATGCTGTCCAAATTCAATTATGCGGATGCAGTAATAGGTCCTAGACTTCTCAACCGTTCAAAGAAACTTATACAGCGCGTACAAAATGCCTGTGCCCGTTTCTGTTTTAAAATACCTCCCCGTGCACATGTTACACCTTACATTAATAATGCGAAAATGCTCAAAATGGATTACCGGTGGCAGTTGCATTTTGCTACGCTGTTGTTTGGTTGTATAAAATACAGGACGCCGTCTTATCTCTATGAAAAATTGCGCTGGGCTCGAGACAACGTCTTAACAAATGTAGTGACTAGAGCTTCAGCGTACGGGTTGCTTCTGCCTCAACACCGCACCGCTGCGTTTCGAGGCAGTTTTCGATATGCAGCAACCAAGTGTTGGAACAACTTGCCGCCGCCGTTCCGTAATATACAATCGATACATAGCTTCCGTCAAAAATTTAAATTGTTCCTCTTAGATCAGCAATGTCAAAATCAAGTAGTGCAGATATTTTGATAGTATGTAATTTTATAAATAATGTATGAGCGTGTATATGTGTATGTATGTGTGCTTGTTTATATTTATGTATATATATGTACATACATATATATATGTATATGTGTGTGTGTTTGAGTATGTATATATTATTTATTGAAATTATGTAATGAACATAGGCCTCATTACATAATTTCAATAGGCCTATGTTCAGCAGTGGACTTGTGAAGGGCTGTAATGATGATATGTAATGAAGCGGTGTACTGCAGCTGGTTTGTGTATTTGTTTGTAGCTTAAACTTAATTACGCTCCTGAGTGAATTTCAATGCAACCTCTTACAGTATTAAGAATATTTTATAAGAATTATGACAATAATACAAGAAATAAATTTTTGTTATTATATTTGGTTTAACACAACAGAACTGCCCTCTGCATATAAAGAATATATAATATATGTATATATATATATATTTTTTTATACTTATTTGTGTATTTTCATTTTAAATATATAAGGGTGCCACTGAAAATCAGGGTTGGGGTGTTGTACTTCTGATACATTCCAACATATCCTGAGTGGCTTTCCTTTTTGGAGCAGAGCAGCATTAACGGGTGGATTGTCTTTGTAATACACCTTATGCATTACTCCTTATTATCTAGTTCTTATTTATTTTTTATTATTATTTTTTCTTTTTTATATTATTGTTTGCTTTTTTTTTCTCTTTTTTTTGTTTTATCATATCTATAAACAAGGAGTGAATGTCCTGTTTCATGATTTCTATGTAAAATTTTTTTTTGTTGTTTTTTGTTGTATGACTACTTAAATGTTATTTGTTTTATGTAATCCACTTGAGTGTGTTGCATGTGCCAAATAAAATCTGTTTCTTTCTTTCTTTCTTTCTTCTAATTATTTACAAGCTAATTCCCAAATATTCAAACGCTACTCAATTTTAAGATGCCGTTAAATCTGTTGCTGTCTCCATCCCTTTAAGTCAAAGTGACTGTGACATCACGAGACTTAATGATATCTTAAAATTGAGTAGCGTTTGAGTAGAAGTACCAAATGAGTAAAGAATCCTTACTGTGGTAATACGAGTTACTCAACGACTTCACAGAGTCATTAATTCATTCTTGGAGCAATTTTAACGCTATTACAACATCGCAGAAAATATTCAAAGTTTGGTCACCGCCAATTTCAAAAACTAACTTAAACAGAGATTCTATAAAAAACGTCATTATAATACTACGCTAGGGGTGATCGCTACTAAAATATTTCTAATTTATATATATATATATATATATATATATATATATATATATATATATATATATATATATATATATATATATATATATATATATATATATATATATATAATGTCACTGGGTTTCTTGTTGGCTTTCCCAGGACAGAGGTATTTTCCGAACCAGCGGAAAATTAATCATTACAATGACTTAATATATATTATTTACAATCTATATTGAATAAAAAATTATTTTTATTTCTAACATAAAGGTAAATTAATGTTAAACTAACCCACGCTCTCGCTGATATAGTTATAAATCTTCTTGTTGGTAATTTCATTCCTATTACTTCCGCCAGTCTCATTTCAGTCTTCCACGGTATATGAACTTTCAGAAACCATGTTTTTTCATCAAATGACAGACATTTATTTTCTAATTCTAATTCTAAGCCTTCTTTAATTAGATTTTCCTAAAACAAACACATATAATTGAATTTACATAAGATAAGATTACTTTGATAAGTTAAAATGAAAAAAAAAATCAGTTTATTGCTTTAATACATTTAAATTTCAATATTAATATGAAAAAAAAAATACTTTTCTTTACACGTTTATGAAGAAGTGTTTCATCAGTTTACTTACTTGAAATATTCTCCTGTGATCTCTTTTTTTTGCTTCGGCCTCAGTCATTACTCCATAGTCTTCCTCTTCGTAAGCTAAAACCATATCTATGCGTCGTCTTCCATCCCTGAACATTAATGAATCCGGATCCAGACCCTGTATATAATTTATTAATTTATTTTCAATCTTTACTGCATTCTTTTTAAGAAAGGGTGGAGCTAGTGCCTATAGGCTACCAGTCAAATAATGTAAAATTTATTTGTCACACAGAGCATCCTTGTTTACTCATATCACCAGCTTTAATTGACGAATACATTATGTAAAAAAAAGACGTGTGGCACTCGGGGACTGCCGCGGTAAAGCTATTGCATAGCATTTTGTATCAACTTATGCAATTATAATTATTTATTTATTTTATTTATGCAGTATTTCTTTTTCTTTGATATTAATTCAAGTTACACTTTTTGAGCGTGGTGACCGATAAGAAAACAATTTTTTTTCTTTTATCAAATAAATAAATAATAAATGCACTTTGTTCATTCATATTCAAAACACTTTATACACAAATTTTACAAGTACAGCTATTCACTGTTGTACATAAATACCTATACACCTATATACTTTCTCATAAACAGCTGCTTATGTATTCGTCCGATTTCGGAGCAGCTCGTCTCGATTCGTGCGAGCTTCGTAGAGTCGTACAATACGTCTAGTTGCACGCACACAAACACCATGTCGAAGACTGCCGAAAAGAAACGACGTTAGACAATGCACGGCCTTCAAGCCACACCTCCGTGCCCGTCGGAGTGGGGAGCGTGAGGTTTTTTCGTTACGGAATTTCTGGATTCGGTCCCCGCGCTCAAGGCCCGCGATAGAAGCTATGCAATAGCTTAAAAATTAATATAAAAACAAAACATATAAAAACTTCACGGACATTCTCCTTCTCTCTAACCTCCATGGTTGCTACTTAAGTGAGATATGCGAAAATATGCCGTTTTGTGGATTATCTTGATATATATAAATTACGTGTCACGTTGTTTGTCCGCGATAGGCTTCTAAACTACTTAACCGATTTTAATGAAATTTGCACACCGTGTGCAGTTTGGTCCAACTTGAGAGATAGGATAGTTTTTTTTGCCCATGAGTAACCCACAATTTATTTTTTGCGAATTTAAGGATTCTTAATAGGACATGACAGAGTCGTAAAAAGGGCAGAACAACGTCTGCCTGGCAGGCTAGTCTTATATTTTTGCGGTGCGGTTGGGGGGGTGTTATTACCTCGATATAGTAATCTTTATTTCAAAACTATCAATACTGTTCTTTTTAAGATATTCAAAAGTAAATACTTTCCTATGACAGCCAAGAAAAAAGTGTTTAAGTCGTGTATCTTGCCATGTCTCATGAAAGAAAGAAGTATGTTGGGCGTTACGCTTAAGGACCGAAAAAAAGAGCAGAAGATATCATATCTACAGTAAGGAAACAAGATAGTTCAAATGGCAATGGACACATAAAAAGGGAAAACAATATAAAATGGACTCAAATCATAAGGGAATGGCACCCTAAAAGGCGAACAGATAGTATCAAGATTATTGGAGGGACAATCTGGTTAAAAAAGCTAACAATAGACAAGATTTGAAAGAGCTAGAAGAGGCCTGTGTGTCACAGGACACGCTGACCACTAAAATGTGCTAGATTATAAGTTGAAAAATTAGCTACTATGTTAAAAAATATAACGCTTAGTACCAGCAATGAAGGCTTAATAATATTCACATAATGGCAAGGGAAAATAATATGTTATTATGACCTCTCAGCCTTCAATAAATAGTAGTATGTCAGCTTTACTATCCACGCTATCTTTATTTACGCGAGATGTTCAATATTCAGATCAGCGATTAGAAACAGCGCCAAATTAGCGAGACATCCGGCACTGCGATCGTCAATCGGTCGACCAAGCGTGATGATCAGGACAGATCTTTTTACAACGGGAGAGACCCTGTCCATACTGGGCTTTTAGAAGCATATTACATTGTTTAGTAATGAGCACGCTTATTTACAGTTATAAAAATTTATAGAAAATAATCATTCAACATTTTTCAAGGATGAAAACCTATATCTAGCCATTTACCGGTGACTTTGAATTGACTGTTTTTTTATTTAAAAAAAAAAAAATAAAATAAAATAAATTAAAAAATAAATTTATTTTTTTATATTTAATATAAAAAAAAAAAAAAAAAAAAAAAAAAAAAAAATTTTTTTTGTTTTTTTTTAACTATTTTGTCACTAAGTTTTAGTAGTAGTAGCTCGCCTCGCTTCAAACGCAAAAATTGAAACCTAAATACAATTACTGCTATTTTGTATAACTGCTTACATTGTAGAATTATTTTCAAAAGAAACATCTTTGAATCAGAATAATTGTTCCTTAATGCTTAATGCATCTGCATGTTCTGTTAAATAAACAACAGTTATAAAAACTTCAAATACAGAAGAATTTACTCATTTCCCACTTAGGACACTCACATAAGCGCAGAGTAAATTAATACATATATCGGTTGTAGCCCTGAAAGAGGCAGTAACGCTGTTGTTTCGGCAACTTTGGCATTTCAGGCCACTGAAGGAATCCGTAAAGAAAGATGAACCTACCTTCTACAATGGTTTCGATATAAAAAAAATATGTCAATTGTGTTCGGGCGTAATTAAAAAAGTACAACAATGTGATAAATATTCTAAGTGATTGAATGCATTTAAACAGATTTCGGAACATTCATGATGAAAGATAACGTTATAATAATTTCAGATTTGTCAAATGTGTAAGACGGTGAACTGCAATTATATCCCTGCAAGTCCGTCTGACAAGCAAAGCAATTTAAAAAAAAATCGATTATAAAGATTAGGTCCGTTTCAACTGAAAACCAATTAATTATTGAGGCTGAAGAATAATAATATATTTCCGAAAAATCTAAAGATTGTTTTAATCCAATATATATAATATTTTGTATACGAAAATATGTATATCTCATATTCACTGAATATTAAACTCATCCCAATGTGTTTAGTTATAAGTTATGCAAATATCAAGCTTCCTCCTTCAATAAATAACTCTGACGTGGATACATGACTTTGTTTTCCTTTTAAAATAAATGTAGAATGTTCACATAAATGGACGTAAAAAAAATTAAGCTAATGTAGCACTAATTAGTTTGGATTCGCGACGCCATTTTCAATTGGGGTAAAAAATTGATAGTTTTATTGTAACATATTATCATCTCAATAAAGCTGACATAAACAGATGAAATGAAAGTAAGGCAATATTTGTTGGAAAATAAATGAACGGGAAAAAATAAAACCGAACGACTGAGAGATATAATGCTAACATGCGCCGTCTAACGCATAAAGACCCTGTTTTAATTATAAACATAGGTACGCGACATGTGCCATAAATGGAGTAAATCTTATAACGAAAAAAAATTGTTTGTCACATAATGAAATAAAATTAAATATATCTTGTAATCTTCTAAATTAAGAATGTTTGCTGATTTCTATTTAACTAATGTTGAGCGACGTGGTGGCGGTGTAATAGAACCACGAGCCATCACCCCTTTGGATCCCATGGGTGTCGTAAAAGATGATAACAGCCAACGACAGAAAACTTTTATGGCTTCCGATAGATGGCATAAAGCCAATGCCCATCTTGTTTACACCTATTTAGTTTACATAAGAATTAAAATACTCGGACCGGCGAGGAGCAGCAGAACAACAGAACATGATATGCTTAAGAAGAGAAACGAAACTGTTTGGTATTAGAAATTAGACATTTCCATCTTAGTCCTCGGAGGTGACTACGCGTCTACATTTTGATTTTTAATCGATAACTGATGTAGATATCTATGGGCGACAGCATCCACTTACAAGTTAATGGACTGTATGCTTATTTGTCACCCTTACTCTATAAAAATATATAAAAACCTACTCCACTATTAACAAAATTAAATTTTTGCAGTAATATTTTACGATTTTATTTCGTAGTGCTGAGCTCTCGCAACGCGGCGTACGTCCACCTAGCAACACGATGCGCCCCGCACTGAATTCGTGGACGAATGCGGGGGTGATATAGATGCAGTATTTAATCGGGACGCATTTTTAATTTATTATCATAAAAATAATACATATTTCTAAAAAGTAACCAAACCAAATTATTTTATTTTGTATTGCAAAGCAGTAGATATTTTTTTTATATTCCTTTGATAAACAATGAAGGAGTAAAGTGGTTTCATCTCAACGATTTGGAGGTGATTTGGGTATTTTTTTATTTATTATGTGACACCGATAGAAAAATTATGGCTAAATCAAATTACGTATCAGATCATGTAGATTACTAGCTATTTTTTTCATATGTAATTTCTCTGTAAGTGTCGACGAAAAGTTGGTTCATCTGCACGCTTTTTTTCAAGCTTTTTTGCGAGAGAGCAGCCTTAATAATAAATGCATTTTGTTCATTCATATTCAAAATTTCAAAACACTTTATACATAAACACCGTGTCGAAGACTGAGGAAAAGAAACGACGTTAGACCATCGTTAGACAATGCACGGCCTTCAAGCCACACCTCCGTGCCCGTCGGAGAGCGTGAGGTTTTTTTTCGTTACGAAATTTCTGGATTTTCCCGCACTCAAGGCCCGCGATAGAAGCTATGCAATAGCTTAAAAATCTTAGTAAAATTATTCTTATCTGAATTTTTAAATTTTAATATTTAAATTAAAAATTTTTATTATATATCTTTCAAGAGGAACATAGCAGCCGGTGTGTCGTTTCTTGAATAGACCTATTGCCAACAGTAGGCTTAAAAAAGGCTGTCAGTATGATTAAGGGCCTATACTACCTCAGCTCAAATTCTAATTTCGTCCCCACTTCCTCGCGCCTCGTATGCTACCGACATGCTTGTAATCACTAATATTGTAAGAAGATAGGTCGTTAGATACTTATTTCATTAGATTGATCATATTTACGCCTGCCTGTTTCTTTACGCCAACCCAGTCACTTCTTATTTTTATTACGGTTCATTCCCATTTTAATTTTACGTCGTGCTGTTGCGTAATGTGTATTCTGATCGTAAACGATACAACTTTCCCGTTCGAAAGCCGAAGCGAAACTGATCGGGCGGCAGGCAACAAGCTTCAAACGCCGATAGTTTAGGTAATTTCTTTTTACAGTGAAAATAATGGTAATTAAAAAAATAAAAAACATAAGCCCTGCTTCGTAGCCATGTGGCCGATGAAAGGAAAAGGGGAGATCTCCCGCCGGGCAAGGTGTTATGCCCGGGGAGCGGCCAACGCTCCATGAGATAGTTCGGAGATGTCCTATATATACTGTTTATGATTCGGAATTTTGATAGCGTGATTTAGGCTTCAGTGTGTTTCGCTTGCGGCGCGACGACAGCGCCGCTACATCACCCCCCTGCTCAGACCGGAGGTCGGTAGTGCAGCCTCGTTGCCGACGAATGTGACAAGTGCCAGTGGATTGCCTTGTAGTCTGCGGTGAGTCGAGAAGAAGGCAAGTAATCTGCGAGAGTGCCGAAGCAGAGGCTAGCAGTAAGGCTCAGAGCCGTGCCGAACACTGTATAGCGCAGAGAGTAGCTTGAAGGAACAGCAAGCATTATTATTCCAGTGCTGCGGTGAACCTTGTGAAGCTAGCTGGCTTGCAGGATATGAAGACTGCAGACGATATCTGCTCGGGAGCGAATGGGTGGGGTATTTTATGACGAGGATGAAGCTTGAAGTTTCCGAAGGTTGTTGGTTGCGTCTTCAGATCACGTTGGGGTCACCACTGTGGCCGATGAGAGGAAAAGGGGAGATCTCCCGCCGGGCAAGGTATTATACCCGCGGAGCGGCCAACGCTCCATGTGATAGTTCGGAGATGTCCTATATATACTGTTTATGATTCAGAATTTTGATAGCGTGATTAAGGCTTCGGTGTGTTTCGCTTGCGGCGCGACGACAGCGCCGCTACAGTCATTTTAGTTAGTACGCAAAGTTTCATGATCTAATTTAAAGTATTTTATGAATACCAGCGGATCATTGTTCAGTTTGAAGGTAACTTTGGATTTTACTTCAATCGAAAAAATTTTACGGAATCGGTTTTAGTCTACATAGTACTTGACATTAATCCTCAACTTTACCATATATATTATTTCAAAATTAATGCTGCAATATTTTCGGCATAACGGAGGATCTTGCAAAGTCATTTTAGGTAGTATAGGCTCTTAATACTAGCTGTGGTTTGTGCTAGGTGTATTGCAATATTTCTATTTTTGGCAGAAATTTTAACAGCGTTTGCACAAATCACCAAATCATCATTCATAATAATCGGGTGAATTGTTATAGGAACGAATAAACAAACAAATATTCATTTCAATTTATTACATAATATATACCATTACAGGAAATGTTATTTTATGTACAAGCAGAACTTACTTCGGGACTGGTTTCTCCTATATTTTCTTCTTTTTCATTTGAATATTTTGGTAGTGAATCTTTTCTCCCACCTCTCGAGTAATCAGAATTTTTGCTGTTTGATTTAGACTGTAACGAAAATCCAGTTTTAAATAAATTAATATTATAAAAGAAACAAAATGTATGCTATGTTATTATTATACAATAATACATCATTTTACATAAAAAATTAGTGAGGGCAAAGACGTCGTTTGTATTACTTTTTTGTCATATACTTACAATACTTTTTGAGACATGCTGTAATACCAAAAGTATATTAAAAGTCGAGAAAGTCGTGACAAAGGTCAAATAAGATTTTTTTTCGTTTGTTTTTATACGAAAATTTCATTGTAGTTTGGTATACGAGGTTTGTTGGGCAACAATAAAATCACCAGCTAGGTAAGGAATTAAAATGGATCTTTATGGGTGTTTAAGAACTACGTATGATGCGCAGCTCATATTTCTTGGTATATGAAACATTCTCGGAAAGATAGAGGTCAGAAGAAAGAGAGAAAAAGGAGAGAAGGCCAGTGCTGCTAAGGGAATATAGAGGTTATCTTATTAACTACTTTATATGTATAATGTCCTCCAGATCAAATTTCGGTTACGGCCGCCAGTCTCAACATATACTGGCCATCTCCGCAGCGAGGGATTATAGAGCAAGAGTGTGTGCTCTACTACAGGTGCACTTCCTATTCCTTTACTCTCATAGTCAGATGGGTCCGATGGGGGATCAGGTACAAGATCAAAGGTTTTATGTGATTTCCTAGGTACCGCGGTAAAACACTGCCAAATTCTTGACTTTCCGCTGCTACAATCAAAATTTCGTGACGGGAAAATCCAATAACTGATTTCCCGACCCGGGATTCGAACCTGATATCCATGATCAGCAGTCCCACTTAATATAATAGCTTCTTAAGTCGCGGCTTTAATACTTCTTAAAGATATTATATATTTTAATTGAGGTGGTGTTTAACACTAAACATTGAAATTCAGCAGCACAGTAACCGCGTTACCAAAACTCACGTACACTAATAGTGTTGCTAAGTAATCTTAGAATATGATATAAATTTGTGATTGTATTTACTTTAATAAAATTGTAAAAATTGGAATGTATTGTTAATTAAATCCGTTTTCAACGCTGGACGGCGACTTTATTACTACCGCCGACACTCCTGGTAAGGTCTCCCTCTCACTGCAGCCAAGACACCTTTAGCCGTCAGAAACCCTACACAGTCTTGTGAATCTACTTGACTGGCAGTGAAAGAGAGACATCACCTAACCCTGACATCGTGTCTCCCCGTCTGTTCTCTGAGGTCTCATGGCGCAGACATCCCTAGATGAAACTTATCTAATTTATGTATGTATATTCATATGATAGAGCTGAGTTATAAGGGACTGCTAGGCACTGCTAGGCATAGGAACTTAGTTTGGGTCTGTAGGGTCTAATACTCCTACCATATTCATGTGCAGCCAGGTAGTCGAGCTATAGAAAGGAAATTGGGTCAATATATAAACAAACAACCACCTAACTGTACAAGTTTTTAGTTTTTCTTTGAAGTTGGTTTTTACTTTTATTAAAGCTTAATTAACCTCTCAAACCCCTAGCGGCATCATGAGACCGCGGCCATATTCCGTCAAATACCTAGCGGTCTCATGAGGCCGCACCCACCCACAGCACATTAACCGATAAAAACTTATATATAGGGACTACTTATCCAAGAAGAAGTTTGGCTTTATAGAATCAATATGAAGTTTTCTATCCTCTAATGCAATAAAAAGTTACTTATCCACTAGATATTTATTTATAATCTGTGTTCATTCATTTCGTACACCATTTTCGCGTGAATGTTATTGTGTTGATTTTTGGATTTTTCCAGGGTTTCATTAGTATTTTATTACAAAATTGTAATGAAAGTTTTTTTGTGAATATAATTTATCTTTTTACCTAAACAAATTCGAGAGAATTTAATATATATTGAAGTAATTGTGATTTTCACGCTGCTGACATTCGCTAAAAATTCAATAAAATCTTTTTGTAATGAATAAAACCTGACTTTTGTTTAGACCACACGATATTTACGAAGCATTATTATAACCTTGAAGGTAACTACAACTAGAATTCGTCAAAATGACATGAAATGTTTCACTCCCTATTGCAATTGCGTGAAATTTCTTATTCGAATTTAAATAGAAGTTCCTTTGAGAATTTAACGTAAGAAGATAGTATTGCATGTTATAATAGTTTACAATTGACAAAGATATCGCGTAACATACCTGTTATACAGTCGAATTGACAACCTCCTCGGTGAAATATATTTATCTTAGAAAGACAATAAAAAATCTTTCTTACCTGAAGACTAGGCAGTGGAGTACTAGGTAGCGTAGAAGACTCGTTCTTGAACTTAGGAGAAAAAGCTCCTGCAGCTGAAGTGACATTCTTCACAAGTCTCCAGCCACGAAATCGTCGCTCCTCTGAACTATCACGTGAGTTCGATTTAATATCTTCTCTGAGGTTGACCTATATACAAGAAATCGATTATGAGAATCTAATAAATTAATTATATAGGAGATTTTTCAATTTATAATTGCAATAATTCTCCTGAATATGTGTGACTGAGAAGTGTTATTTTAGAATAACTATGTAATGGTCACTACTTTCAGGCGCATGAATTTTACATATAATACAGATACATTATGTTTAGGTCGAAATAAAATAGTGTATTATAACTAGTATTATGGATTTTATTGGTTTCATTTTTAAATTATTTTAACAGTTTTTATTAATTTGTAACACCAGGGGTGTTCACGTGTTACGAGTTCACTGAAAAAATATTGTGTAATTAGTGTAAAGTTCCTTTTTTTCGAGGGCTGGTTATTCGTAAAATTTCTCTAAATTCCACATCATAAAATTTTAACGAGTTTTGAAACTAGTCTAAAATAAATGGTATAAATGAAATGTTTGCGCACGTGACCCCTCTCCGCTGATCTATTTAATTGCGTTACGTTTGTCTCTATATATATATATATATATATTAGTGATGACACTAATAGACGCCTCGCACCTTTGATGTTGCTTCCTATAGCCGGTTTTAGTTTTTTACAACAAGTATACAATATATGAGATGTTGAATTGCCATTTACCGAAGGTCACCAACACTTACAGACATTTTAAATGATCTTTCAACTTTAAAGGCAATCACAGAATGAGGTGGGGTGATGGTTTGTCTTTCACTGCAACAACATGAAATTATTAAAAAATATCAACCAAAGGCTTCACGGCATTGTTGATTGTGAATTGCACTATGTTTGTGTCATCTACGCCCTTTCTTCTTAAAAGTTATAAGTACTTATGTAAGGAGTAATACAATATACACCACCAGCAAACTGCACCATCATCCCACTTCTCATCCAGAAGACTCTTCCAAATCGAAACAGTTCAGTTCTGACTGCCAACCTTGACGAGCGAAAAATAAGGTGATGCTGAGTGTCAATAATTGTCGAATTTGTTAAATGCTACAATTTTCATTGTAAGTGTTATCATAAACATAAACAATGTCTTATTAATCATAAAATAATTGAATATCTTTCTCTGTTTTATAATCTTAATAAGATAACTCTAATAAAATTGAAGTTGGTGTTGAGTTCTTAGTTTCTATTGATACTTTGTCACGATTGCATACATAACAGTTAATCCATGACTCTGTTACTACAAAAGCCAAGAAGTCTGTTCATAATTTCCATTTGACGAATATTCCTATGACATTACCCTGCCAAGCAAAAAACAGTGAAGGGACAACACAACGTTACAATTATTCACAAACACTAGGCTCTTTCCTCTTTGGTGGGCATTACAGCAATGCAACGTTTGCCGTCTTGATGTCTTACCGCAATCGGCCTCAAATCAAAGAGCTTTAAGTCGATATGAATCTATGTGGTATGCTTTTTATGTACTATGCGAAAGTTTTTATTTATTAACTATTGAATTGAAGACGTCTGTCGATATATGGAAAGAAATCATTATAGAAAACTATTTCATAGCTAATATTTTGGGTGATGTTATAAGATAATGATATAATGAAACTAAATTTAATATCCATAGACATTATACCGAAACAGAATCGTGTCGTTAGTTAAGTCAGTCTCTATTGATTATTATGCGATCGATTTCGTTGTAGTATGTTGAGAATATGTTGTATCGCTGTCTTACCGACCAAGAAAAGCTCCAATACATATAAGAACGTCAACATGAGAAAAATATCTGATTGTTAGTTGTACCTTCTTTTCACTGGGCACGACAAAGGGTATACTCTGAAATATCAAAATTTAATTTATGTTAGTGTACTCAAACAATGTGTTGTTGATGATAATAAAAACTACACAGTAACAAGTCCGCAGTCTGCGAACATGTTCAAGATCGTCCCCACCATTACATTCGATTTGATAAACCACAAATCCTCGCAAAAGAACACCGATTCCTACGAGTACCTAGGATGATACGCGAGGCTATTGAAATTAAAAATCCTATCCTATAATCTATAATCCTCCTATCTATTATTCTCCTCACACAGATCCTATAATTAACAAAATTAAACCCAAACCCAAGCATACCACTGCAAGACTTCATGAAACTATAAGCTCGTTTTGCGTAAATCGGACCAATAATTTATATTCAAAAACTGAAGGTAGCCGGACTAACTATGACATTGGGACGTCAAACATCTCAGTCCCCCCCGTGACCATGGGTGTAAAGTCGGTATAGTAAAAATAAGTTAAAATAATTAAACGCGATAAAATCCGCAAATAATAGTTTTATTCAATGTGTAGTGTTCGCGTAAATTTAAGAAATCATTATGAGTAGACTTTTGCTTAGCTAAGTCAGTGCGCTTCACCGTCTTCAGCGGCACCACTACGTGATAGTAGTCAGGCACTGGCTAAAAAAATCTTAGTTGTGATCCCGGAGGACTAAGATGAACTGCCTTATTATCAGTCAATTGGTACTCAGGTTTTCGTCAGTCATCTTACGAAACACAACAGTATTATGCCTTGCTTCTTTCCTGTATTGAACCAACCTATTCGTGCTACAACTATAACACGAATGTAAATCAATTTAAATAGTTACATGTTGTAGGAGTATTTTAATCAAAAATATGACGACTACCAGTTACCGGTTGGATGGAATACGGACAATTAAGGCCAAAGTGCCGTCAAAAATGTCATTAGTATATTTTTACGTCGATCTACTAGTATTTATATAAGTATATGGGTTGCTTTTTAAATAGGTATTGTTTAAATGAAACGCCTTAAAACTAACAAGGAAGTACCTTAATTACTGGACTTTCCATGATATCAGCAAGCGATGTTCCAAAGTTCGATTCAGGTGCAATATTGTCATATGACTTCCATGGTATTTCAATATGCAGCGGAGTTCCCGGCAACGATGCTTCATGGCTCCGACGACGAAGTCTGTTTTGCTGTGTAACAAAATTTGAAACGTTACATGAATATGGACATGTAAGAGGCTTATGAATAAATATGATTTGGTTGAAGCCAGCCTGATCTGCCGCGAGCACAGGCGCAAATTAGCCAGCCTCTTAGTATCCTATAGAATGCATTTCGGAGAGAACGCACGGAAATTACGTAGGTTTCGGCGGGTCTTCACCACATTGTTGTCGATATTCCATGCACTCAAATCAAACGGTTTGGAATAATCTACTGGCATCTGCGTTTACGTACGATTACAATCAGGGCGTCTCTAAGGCAAGGAGGACTTTTGTTAGGCTAAGACAGTTACCATTTCTTACCATCTGCGGTCTAGCAGTGGCTTATAAAAGTAAGAAAAATATAAAATGTAATTTGGTAATTTTGTTTTAAAATTAATAATAATATTAGTAAAAATTTAATTCTGAACGTACTTAAATTTGTTTTTCGACTAACGACGATTCGAAGTAGGTAGATTCAAACGTATATGAAGTGGACTTACGCAAACAGGTAGAAAAAGTACATTATCGTACTTACACAAAATATCCGTTGCACAACAGAATACAGAAAAGAAAAATACAGAATTTTCAGTACAAGGCCTTTATTAAATTTTCTACACAGGATATTCCTAGAGCATTAATGCTATGTCTAAATGCGAGTAGTGACCGGGGGAATTCTCAAAGTCAGATTTAGGCATTATTCAATAAGTGTTTACTTAAAGTAATGCGTGGAACATATTAGCATTCATCATTCTGATTAAAATCATCATCATCATCATCATTACAGCCCTTCACAAGTCCACTGCTGAACATAAGCCTCCCCGAAGTAACGCCACAAAGCACGGTCCTGCGCCACCTGCATCCATCGACTTCCTGCATGTCTTACCAGGTCGTCACTCCATCTAGTGGGGGGTCGCCCTACACTACGCCTACCGGTACGAGGCTGCCACTCGAGAACCTTTCTTCCCCATCGGTTATCGGTTCTTCGAGCTATATGGCCCCGGCCCATGCTAGCCACTTCAGCTTACTAATCCGTTGGGCTATGTCGGTCACTCTGGTTTTACTGCGGATATCCTCATTTCTAAGTCTCTCACGCAGAGAAACTCCGAGCATAGCCCTCTCCATAGCTCGCTGAGCGACCTTGAGCGTCCTCATATGGCCAGCAGTGAAGGACCACGTCTCAGATCCGTAAGTCATCACTGGCAACACGCACTGGTTGTACAATCTAGTTTTTAGAGATTGAGGTATACCTGACGAGAAGATATGTCGTAATTTTCCGAACGCTGCCCAGCCGAGTTGAATCCGTCGATTGACCTCTCGGTCGAAGTCGGACTTACCTAGTCGGACTATTTGTCCCAGGTAAACGTACTCATCAACAACTTCGAGCATAGTGCTCCCAACAAATACGTAGGTGTGACATGGATCTTTGTTTTGTCCATGTTCATCTAAAGACCTATCCGTTGGGAGGCACCATTAAGGTCATTGAGCATAGTGCTAAGGTCCTCCAGCGATTCTGCCATAAGGACTATATCGTCGGCAAATCGAAGGTGAGTGATGTACTCGCCATTGATGTTAATACCGTATCCTTTCCAGTCCAGTAGCTTGAAAACGTCTTCCAATGCAGCGGTGAAGAGTTTCGGGGATATAACGTCACCCTGTCTTACACCTCTTTGCAGTTGGATAGGTTTCGAGCTCTGGTTCTGTACTCGGATAGCCATCGTAGCCCTACTGTACAAACACTTCAGCACTTCGATATACCGACAGTCAACTTGGCACCGTTGAAGGGAATGTAGCACCGCCCAAATTTCGACGGAATCAAAGGCTTTCTCATAGTTCACATACGCCAGGCAAAGTGGCAGATTGTACTCTTACAATCTGCCGCAGGGTATGTATGTGGTCTATGGTACTGAAGCCTTTTCGGAAACCGGCTTGTTCGGGAGGCTGGAAGTCGTCGAGTCTGCGTGCGAGACGATTCGTAATGACTCTCGAAAACAGCACGTAGACGCGGCTCAGAAGGGAAATCGGTCTGTAGTTCTTCAAGAGAGCGTTGTCGCCTTTCTTAAAGAACAAGACCACCGCACTTCTGCTCCACGCCTCTGGAGTAGTGCCACCATGGAGCACGGAATTGAAGTGCTTCTGAAGGACTTCAAGTACCGGTGTTCCACCCGCTTTCAGAAGCTCCGCTGTAATTCCAGCCTCGCCTGGGGCCCTGCCGTTTTTAAGGTGCTGGAGAGCCATTCTAATCTCGCTTAGACTGACGTCCGGGATATCATCGGAATAGTGTCGAATAAGACTTGCTCTTGGATTGTTACTCGCACTTGCGTGTGGCTCCAACGATGATGTGTACAGCTGCCCATAGAACCTCTCAATCTCACTCAAAATCTCAGGTGTCCCGGAAACGATGCTGCCACACTCAGTCTTCAGCTTTGACAGTTGGCTCTTACTGGCAGACAGATCTCTGGCAAAGACTTTGGAGCCCTGGTTCCGCTCGATCGCTTCTTTAATACGAGCAGCATTAAAGTTGCGTAAGTCTCGCCGCATGCATTTGGAGATCTGTCTGTTCAGTTGCCTGTATGCTGTCAAATCTGTTGACGATTGCAGCCTCATCTCCCGTCTAACAGCCATGAGATTAAGAGTGTGATCGGAGAGTTTTTGTGTTCTTCTGCGGCGGGTCTTGTAGAACTTAGCTCCGACCGCATGGACAGTTTCCACGAGCTTGTCATTCATATCTCCACTGCATTGCAATCTTGTAGGCACTGAAAGCGGTTACGTAACTCGAGCTGAAAGTTTTCGGGATTCTGGATTGGAGCACGAGGGGGACGGAGCGTTGACTTCATTAAACGAGACCTCTCCAACTTAACGTTTAGGTTCAGTGTGCCTCTAACCATTCGGTGATCGCTGCTAGTTTTCACCCTTGCGATTACTGAGACATCACTGAACAGTTGGCGTCTGGTCGTCATAATGAAGTCAATCTCATTTTTTGTCGAACCATCGGGTGATTAAAATCAAATACCGGAATTTAAGAAAATCATTTATCATCATTATATGTGCCCAAGGTGTTAATTTTTTATTCATGTATAAAACAAAACGCTATCGAATTAACAAGTAGTGATTCTAGATAGGCACGTCAAGTTAAATAATTATTTTGATCTTAATTGTCTCACGATTTTGTTTAAAAACAAAGAAAAACATATTCAACCTATATACTCGTCTATAGTCTCATTTGCTGGCTTATCAGTTTGAGAGGATTGGGGAGCTGTCAGTTAAGGCCTTACTCCAGTGCGTGTTGAAGAATTTAAATATTCACAAATCATTTTATTTTTCAGACATGTAGGTTTCATTTCAATCTTTTGCTTCGCCGCCAGGCACCTATTAAATTATCACAAAACTTTATTTAATAATTTCTTTGTTGCCTGTGGAGAATGAACTTGGATTGCCCGCTTACTGCGAAATTTACGGCACACACTGGGGCACTAATTTTTTAAGAAAATTTTTAAGCCCGTAAATGCATAAGTCCATATAACAAAATCTATTTGAAAACAATCTTTTTAGACGTTATTAAAGCCAGCATCCGTGATCATTACCATATCAGTCCCATGGTATATTATGGTACTGTCAACAAAGTTACATAAGTTGTTAAATTTTAGTACAATCTGATGTCAGCAAGTGCTTTAAGAATTGATTTAAAGAAACATAAAAACTTAAAAAACCGAGAAAATATATTTCACACAAAATGTGGTTTTTCCTCTGAAAAAAGTATTTTCATAACTAGTCTAACGTAAGTAAACATATCTCGCAAGTAAACAAATCTCTTTAAATTCTCTACGTAACAAGAAACGCTTTTAATAATTATATTTAAATAATACTTAAAAAGTTACGAATTTTAACTGATTTGACGATGTAGTGGCGGTGTAAGAATATCCACTACTCCATATCGTTCTGTGAGTGTCGTTAGAAGCGCCAGAGCGAAACAAACCAAGAGATGGGCAGCAGGGTATCCCTTATAACAATTGAAAAATTAAAAAGTACGGTTGCCAACCAAACGTGGTGAATATAAGACGCAATCTATTGCCTTTGTTCAGCACTGTACTTTTGACAGGCCCTAATGGAAATTCGATTTAATGGCTGGGGCAATATTGTCAGAAACTGAAAACTTATTCATTAAGGCGTATCAATTTGTATTGTTAATTTATCGAATCCTGCAAATAACTGTGGTTACAATTGTCCACAGTATGCCCTTTGTGAGACATATTCGCAACGTCCACAACAGAGCCAAAGGCCGCCTAAGCCAGCAACAGTAAGAGTAAACTCTTCTTAAGACACAGGCTTCTTCTTTTTAAAATGTGCACCAGAGCTATTGTGTCCTACACAAGCGTAGACTTCGCCCACGCGTTCAAATACAAATCTTAGTCTAATCTCATGCCTCTTATGAAGCTGTAAAAGACGACTGACTAACAACAATAACATCACAACACTAAAATTACCGGAGAGGGACATAAGAATAATCTATGATTAGAATCTTGAAGAAAATATAATGTATGTACCAAAAATAAAAAAGAGTTTTATGTGTTAAGTGTTATTTATTATGTTAATACTAAGAACAGATAAGCTAGTACATGTTACTAGACTCCACCGAGTCAGTAATTCATTGTTGGGCGACAAAATTATACATCCGCAAAGTTTAAAAACTTTAATAAATAAAATTTGTATACAGAGGAACAAGTAATTGTATGACTTACAAATAGTAATTGTTCCAGGTCTGGAAGTATGTCCCAGTGAAATTTATGTGTGTCAAGTGATCCACGGTACAGAAGAAAATCCTAGTGTAGAGGTGACGTTTTTTATAAAAAAGAAGAAAAGACATAAGCATTTATAAAGATTGCTTTTAGGGTAGATATTTGTCATAGTTTAATTAGTGTCATTGTTCTTAGTCTATATTTCAATAATTGTAAGTTGTAATTCATATTTAATGTTTCAATAACAGATTTCTGCATTTATTTCTTCATTTTCAATTTTTATTAGTTTATTTTAGGGTGACAACTTATGGTACACCGAAAATAGGAGAAACTATTTTTTTATCATCCATGTCATTAATTGAATTTTTAAGTTTTTATTTTTATATTATTTAATATTAAGGACTATTTATGTATGACAATAACGCCTGGGAATCACTGGGAATAGGTGATCGCTACCAAGCTATTTCTAATTTGTTTTATTTTGTTAATTGTGTGACATAACATACATGACTGCAAACTGTTAATTTTCAAAAATATGTCCCGCTGGGTTCTTTTGCTGGTACCAAGACCCAGTACCAAGTTCCCAGTACCAAGACAGAGATATTTGTCGAACCAGTGGTAAATTAAACATAGGAGTGACTTTCAGTAAGTATTATTTATAACCTAATAATTAAATAAAAAGTTCCCCGTTCCTCTTCACTTTCTACACGAGTGACATCCCGAAGGACCCATATGTCAACACCGCTCTTTTCGCAGACGATATGGCACTCCACGTCTCTCATTTCATCGAAGAAATATCTCACAACGATGCTCCGGTTGTGAAAAATGTCCTAGGCACGATAATCCTATTTGGCCGTCATATCCCGTGGCAACAAACCGCTAAATACCTAGGGGTCACATTCAACAACTCCATGACCTTTTCGAAACACATTCGCACCGTCCGAAATTATGCCAAATTCGTCACTAGTCGTTTCCACCCGCTAGTTAACAGTAAGAGCAAACTGTCCCTAAGACACAAGCACCACCTCTACAAAGCTTTTGTAAGACTTATCATGTCCTACGCACGCGCGACTCACGAAAGTTTGAACAACCTATAAGTCGTCCAAAATAGATCCATTCGCATCGCCACCGGAGCTCGGTTGAAGCAGCATAACTCTGATTTACACAGAGATTGCCAACTTCCGATGATGTCTGAATATTTCAAGGAAACATCTCAACGCGCTAGTGGTAAACGCAGCAACCCACACTTCGACTCAAAATGTTAACCAAAGCCTCCAGAGGCCCCGCAACGTTTTAATTGAACCCCCAGTCCCGCTAGATTCCGAAGACACAAATGTCGCCGGCCCGTCACACATACACACTCACCTAGTACCACAAACACTGTAGGACAACGGACGGGGCACAGCGAGTCCCCAGACGGGTGCGCCGCACACCCCTCCACGCCGCGTACACACCGTATACCCGCGTCACAGAACCGCGCAGAACCTCGAACGGCACGAGTTAGCCGTCAGAGCCGGGGCCCACCACCCCGTTCGGTTCGGACGACCGTTATATAACTCATCCACGTGCACTGTGCACTGTCTTAGGAGTCATCGTTAAGCAAGTAATGATGCGGAATGTTGGATTCACTTTTTTACAGCCTGCTCCCCTTTAAGGCCGCGGGCCCCGAGTCCTACGAAGCTGTAAGAGCCGCATACACTAACAGCACCAACATCATCAAAACCAGATTAAATAAAAAGTTTCTAATTTATATAATTTGTATTTCACAGAAAATAGTTTAATGATTTTGAGTACACCATAATATTAAATAAAAAAATGGAGCATACTTGTTCTTCAATACCGTTGTCGGACGCACTTAATTCAGTCCTCGTCGTAGATGTTGAGCTATTGAAGTCGGTCCAAACGTTGTGGTTAGTTACGTTCGCTGTAACTGGCTCGGAGCACGTGCCATCTGAAAAAAGTTTAAATGAAAAAAAAATGTTAAGACAGAAATAAATAAATTATATCAGATATGAGGAAACATTGAAATTCTTTATGTCTATGTTTGCAAAAAAAATGACTCAGTTAAATCATATGCTATTCGTGTGGTGGCAGTATGTTAATCTATCACCCCACATCATTCCTCGGTGTCATAAGAAGCGGCTTCAAAAAAAGATAGATGGGATAATGTAAAACATTAGGGATAAAAAAATATTCAATCCAGTGATGGCATAATGTTCTTATCTTTTGAAATATTATTTTTGTTTCACATGTAGCACATATGATTTTAGATTTTAGCAGTGCAGCTTGCTCTAACAATCGTTATTGTGTATTTTAATGAATTAATGAATTTGATACAAAATAATTTCATGTAGTTGTTAAGCTGTAAATAATGTTAAGATAGAAATGTGTTATAGCGAATGGGCTCTTTATATGGATCATGGAAACTATTTTCAGTTCTTTTGGCAATCGTTATTCCTTTAAATATCAACTCCCGTAGTTAATTTTAACTATGATTATCCAACTCTATAATCAAGGAGAATTCTAATTTGACCATATGTAATGATTTTCCTTTTAGTAAGTAGTAGTAACTTTTCCTTTCTAATTTATCCTTTACATCAGTTCTCTACGCAATGGTGGTCTGTAATAAGACCTCCTGTTTCACTTATCTCATCTTGGTGTATATACATAAGTAAATACACTAGTCTTGCATCGGGATCGCGAAAATAAAATTAACATTAATAATAAGTTGTACCTTCTCGCAAATTTTCTTTTTTAGCTCTTCCACCGTCGTCACTGTTTCTTCTAGATGATGTTTCGCTTTGACTACCTATGAATCTCTCACTTTCAAACGTTATTCTATCAAGCGCGGTTTGATTGTCCAATCTGCGTCCAACTAATTGACTAACTTTCCCCAATCCTTGTCCAAATTTGTCTAAATGTTCTAAAGCTCGTCTTGGTGTACATTGATTCAGTTTTCTGACAGAGTTTACATCCACTTCAAATGGTTCGTGTTCATGGCCATTTTCCATGATTATTAACTGGAACGAGCGTTTAAATTAGTTTTCCTTTTACATATTCAACAGCCTTTTTGCGTCCACTGCTGGATAAAAATGCGCGTGTTGGCATGGTTGGAAGAAGTCCAAGCTCACGGTGCTGGACAAGCCAGATGAGAGGTGAGAGTAGCGTTGTTACTAGTGATGGTGCTCCAAATTATTACTACATTGTACAATTTTATCGGGAAATAAGGGTCAGTATTTTCGAATGGATATATTACTAATTATTAGTGCAAGATTGGTCTGAAGCTGAACAAAAATGTGGTGAATATGGAACGTGCTATTATTGTCCCCATGTAGCCGATAATCTAATCCAGTTAATTTATTTTATCAGTTTGAGCTTATGGCTCTTACTAATATCAAAATCAGGTTGAAGTGAGACTTTCAGGACCGGCAAGAATTCCTCTAACCAAGTTTATAACTACCAGTTCGTTGTTGCAATTACTTTATATTGGACACGGAGAGGGTTGAATAAGGACAAAAACAAGGTAATATGATTTATCTCCTTGCCGTGTAGTAAAGGCGAAAGAAAATGCACTATTCCGTATCATCTACTGGGTATCGTAAGAGGTGACAGAAGAAAACTGAAATAAGAGATAGTCAGCAGCACCTTACTGATAACATAACCTAAAACACTCACGTCTGTCACCAAGAGGGGTAGGCAGAGACTACAGACTTCCATTTAGCATGATTCTGACATACCTCTCTCTCCCCTTCCACATCCATATACCTCCGCATACATGATCGTTGGTTAAGGGTACTCTTAATTTGACCCATTTTTAATATATCGCCAATTTGGTCGACAAACTTTCACCTAGGACGTCCATTTCCGACTCTTGCATTCACTTCTATAACATATATTTGCTTTGTCAGTCTTTCCTCATTTATTCTTTCCACATGACCAAACCACCGAAGCATTCCTTTCTTAATCTTGGTCACCGCATCATACTGCAAACCACACTTTTCTTTTATCACACAGTTTCTCATCCTGTCATTCAGATTCATCCTTAGCATACTCCTTAGCGACCGCATTTCTACTGCATTTATTCTACTCTCGTGCTTCTTCTTCCACACCCAACTTTCAATAACAACGTTAAAGTAGGGAGTAATACAGCATTGTGAATAGCCATACGTGCTTTTTTGACACATTCTCACTTTTTACAATAGAGTGTAGATCCCCATTTACTTTATTTCCTGCATCACAATTGAAAATAATTACTGATAACAATTTAAAATAATAGTAATTCAAGGCATTGTTCAGCAGTGGACTTTCAACAATGAATTAATATTGTTGCCATGAACTAAATTAACCAGGACAACGTTATTCACACATAATAGAACCATAAAATTAATTTATGTAAATCAATAAAATAATATTTATTAAACTAAGCGTGTACGTATTGTTTTGATTAGCCATGTGGTGGCATCGTCAGAGAATCTATTACTCCATCTTCTAACGTGGGTATCGTAATCGGTGGGCTAGGTTAATGATTTCAAGATTTTATGGCCTCTAAAAGATAAAGCCAATTATATATTAATCTAGCTTGCCAGGCAGACGTTGTTCTGCCCTTTTCGACGACAATTTGTCATGTCCTATTAAAAATCCTTAAATTCGCAAAAAAAATGTGGGTCACTCATGGACAAAAAAAACTATCCTATCTCTCAAGTTGGACTAAATTGCATATGGTGTGCAGATTTGAACAAAATCAGTTAAGTAGTTTAGGAGTCCATCGCGGACAAACAACGTGACATGTAATTTATATATATTACTAGCTTGCCAGGCAGACGTTGTTCTGCCTTTTTCGATGACCCTATGTCATGTCATTTCTTATTAAATATCCTAAAATTCGCAAAAAAAAATGTGGGTCAGTCATGGGCAAAAAACTATCCTATCTCTCAAGTTGGACCGAACTGCACACGATGTGAAAATTTGCTTAAATCGGTTAAGTAGTTTAGGAGTCCATCGCGGACAAACAACGTGACACGTAATTTATATATATAAAGATTAAGATATGGAAAGTCATTAAATATACTGGTGACGTGACGGGGTGATGAACAGAATAATAGGTTTTCGAGGCTATTATTACGATCTTAGCTAATTAGCTTGTAGATTGCGTGGGCGAAATAAAATAAAGTTTTTGCACAGTTTATATATATTCCTAATTACACGCAACACTTGAGAAGGAGAATTCAGAAGGAGAATAGCACAAGTATAGATAGTTTGCAATAGTTTATACAGTACAGAAAGGAATACTGTAAATAAACATATAATGTTATAAATGTAGGAGAATACCCTTCAACCCATAAGCGGTCGAATTCGACCACGCACACCCACAGCATTTTAAACTATTAAAACTTATAATTGGAGACTACTTTTCTATGAAGAAGTTTGGCATTATAGAATCAATATGAAATTTTCTATTCTCTAGTGTAATAAAAATAGTTATGCTATGGATATTTATTTATAATCTACGTTCATTTTGTACGCCATTTTCGCGTGAATGTTATTGTGTTGATTTTTGGATTTTTCTAGTGTTTTATTATTGTTTTAGTATAGTGTTTTATTATAAAATTGTAATGAAAGTTTTTGTGTGAATATATATTATCTTTTACGTAAATAATTTCGAGTAATATATATTGAAATAATTGTGATTTTCACGCTGCCGACATTTGCTTGGTATGTTTTGTTTTTGTTATCAAAATACAATAGTCTTTTTGTAATGAACTAAAACCTGACTTTTGTATAGAGAATTTTGTATAGATTTTATAATGCCAAACTTCTTCATAGAAAAGTAGTCTCCAAATATAAGTTTTAACGGTTTTAAATGCTGCGGGTGGGTGCCGTCGCATGCTCGGGATTTGCCGGGCGCATGGGACTGCATGAGAATTTTAAGGTGACTTAGGGGTTAATTTAATAGCTAATTGTCTTCAATGCTTACGTTTTTATTCTGTTTCGTTCCTCGGACAATCTAAAAAACCCAAGAAATCTAATAATATTTTATAAAATTATAGCGATTAATGGTAGCAGATAACTACTATGATTCAAACTATTGACAATAGAAACAATACTTTTAGTGTTAAAACGTGAGAAATCAACCATAAGCCATTCTATTGATTTTATTACAAAAGTTAGTTCTTTGTAATGGTGCTTATGTATGCTGCACGATAAGCGTATTTGATTCCCATCATCAAGTCTATTACGCCGCGACATTGATAACAACATGTCACACAAAATCGTGTATGTATTCGTGAAAACATTTTCCGATAAATTGGTATCGATTTATATACTTTAGTAACAGAGGGAAAGTTACCGGGGCGAATATGGGTTTTTTATTATGATGATGTATTATTTTGATATATATGTGGGTGATTTTCCACCGCTGCCGTCTCCGAGATTTCAACGAGAATGAAATGACGGCGCCGAGCGGACCGAGACGATTTTTTTTTACATAGGATAGCGTAACTAACGAGCACACAGTCCACCTGATGGTATATGGACATCTAGATTTATCTTCAATTTAGAATCAAAATGCAGATGCGTTGTCACCCCTGAGGACTGAGATGGAATGCCTCGTTTCCAGTAAAAAGGGTCTCCGGTTCTCTACACTCACCATACGAAACACAGCAGCAGAGTATCAAGCTACTATTTCATGCTGGTATTGTGTGAGAGCGCGGACCTTCCCCGGTCGAGCCGACTCATTCGTGCTACAACTATACTACTAATATAACTGCAGTATGGCTCTACTAAAATTATCACGTATAAATTTATGGATGGTAATAATTCCTGGTAAAGGTGATCGCTTCCAAGCTATTTCTAACTTGTTCTATAGTGTTATTTGTAATTAGCGTTGCTGGACGTCCGGATAAAGTCAGACACAGTCAAGCTTTTTGGTTGCGTGTCCGGCCAAATTAGACGGTGTCCTGCTTTGTTAGGCTTTTTAAATTTGACCATTATTTAGATTTTTCATACATTACATTACTTACATACATATTATTTTTAAAATATTTATTATTAAAATTGTATTGAATAATTAATAATAAAGAAGACTGATTTATTCAATTGTTGTTATTTCGTTAGAACTTAAGAAGATTTTACGGTAAATGATAAAAACCATTGTTTTACTTTAAAAAAATGTCTTTTACTTAGACAAAAAAATAAGAGTGTCCGGCCTTTTTACCAAAATGTCTGGCTAAGCTCGCTGGTCTGTTCGGCTTTTCGGTTTTAAGACCTGACAACCCTATTTGTAAAATACATAATATAACAAAAAATGTCCCGCTGGGTTTCTTGCTGGTTCTTCCCAGCACAGCGGTTTTTTTCCGAACCCGTGCTAAGTTAAAAAAGTGACTTTCTATAAGTATTATTTATAATCTATGTTGAATAAAAAAGTTTCTCTTTCTGTTTCTATTTTTAATTGTACTGTTTCTCTATACCTCTATAGCTCAGATTGAAACTCGGCATTGGAAGCACTGCTGCTTGGCGGCATAAATTATTACAATGTTATACAAGGTTGAAAAGGTTTAAGGCAATGTACTCATATATTTTGTAAATTTTTGATATTCCTTACTGCGTACTGCGATCATCAACGCATCTGCCAAGCATAATAATTAAGAAAAAGCTTCCCTACAAGGGGGGAGACTCATGTCAAGTTTTGGACTTCAATAGGTTAATAAAGATATAGAAGGCAAAGGTGTCTGACATTACTCCTCATATTGTAACACGTGGTGTAGCAGCAATCAAAATTTTACCGACAAACGAAATAACCAACAATTTCATTGGGGCCCAATGAAATTGTTGGTTATTTCGTTTGGTATTGTAATCGTTTTCCTCTTTCTCTTTCTCTTTCACGTAATTTTAGAGCAATCGCTTGTGCCCTGAGCTACCATGGCTCTTTTTATGAAAAAAAGCATGAAAATGCAGTCAAAGTTGACAATAGTCAAAGAAAATTCCTAAGGACACGATTGATCGATAATTACTT